TTACTAATTTATATTCTGTTCATTTCTTGGTACCTACTGTATTAATAGAAAATCTTAAGCGCAAAAATATGTATTTTGTTTTAATTAGTGGATAATGAAGTTGGTCGTACAATAATTTAAGGTGTCACCTGTATTACAATACTATTTGTTTAATGAGAATTGTACCACTGTTTTTTGTCCTGAATAAAATAAAATAAAATAACACGTGTAACTCCCGATAGCTTAGCAGTTCGGAGCATTCTGATCATATTTGTTTACTCTTACGTTTATAATACTCGGTATAGAAACACCAAACTTATACATGAAATAAGCCATCGCGCCGTCGCACGTGAATACTGAATCATGCTATAAGGATTATTTTTGTGTAACGGTTGCCGCGCTCGACACGGGTCGCGGCAGCGGTAGGGTATCAAAGGTCCGAGAGCGAGCTGTCTAAATCTGTTTTCTGCGTCGCTCCCCCCCTGGGGGACGATCGCTTCCTATGAAGCCTTAGAGGCCTTCCCGGCCAGAGGCAGCCCCTACGGGTGTTTTTTAGTCAGTACGAGTCTGACATAACCTTGCAGCCGGCTGTAGGGTATCCATGAGGATTTCTCATCTGCTCCCCCGCCTGGGAGACCGAAACCGTGCTTATCAGCGCGACTTTTAGTCTTTAAATAGTTTATTTGAATTTCTTTTGTTGTTATTTTGTAAATCAGATATTAGTTGTTTTGGTAGTGTTTAAATATTCGTTCAAATTAAAAATTATTAAGCGTAGGTACTTTTATTAATTAAAGTAGTTATAAGTATTTATTTTTAAGTGAAGGAGGTATAGGTAGATAGTATTGCACAGGCGTTTCAGCTTTATTTTCATTTCTTTTTTGTTGTGAGTTGTATATATTTCTGGTTATAATTCTATAAGAATATTTTAGTTCAAATAGTCACTTAGATTTTATGTGTAAGGTAGCTAAAGTTAGGACCACGTATTAGTTGTTTTGGTAGTGTTTAAATATTCGTTCAAAGTGTAATTTAGTCATATAGGATGAATGTACGATGGCCCATCGAAAAGGAGTAGAAGCGGTAGACAGAACTTTAAGAGATATAAGACAAAATGATCGACCCATGGGCGGTATCACAGTTTTATTTTGTGGTGATTTCCGACAAACCTTAACGGTAATACCACGGGGAAAACGAGCTGCTGAGGTTAGGGCTTGCCTGAAAAGCTCTTATTTGTGGCGTGATATACAATCGGTGCATTTGACTATAAACATGCGAGTGAGAACTGTAGATAACCCGGATGATCGTGAATTTTCTGATATATTATTAAAGAAAATACCTTCACCAAAGAAACCTATCCACTGCTACACCAAGGAAAACTTATTCTGACGCCTGAGTTATGTTGTATAGTGCAATCCCAACAACATCTTACATCGTCAGTTTACGGTGACGTAACAAATATATTAAATAAGAACAATTCTTGGCTATGCGAAAGGTCCATTTTAACTCCTCGCAATGACCAGGCATCTGAGATTAATAATAAAATACTGTCGAATATCCAGGGGGAAAGCAAAGTTTATAGTTCAATAAATAGAATGGCCGATGAACAAGAAGCCACTAATTACCCGATAGAATTTTTAAATTCTTTAAATATGCCCGTACTTCCTTCTCATGAAATTTGTTTAAAAATTGGCATTACGATTATTCTGCTCCGAAATTTAAGACCACCACAAATTTGCAATGGAACTCGGCTTAAAGTAACCCAGTTGCAACAAAATGTAATCTAGGCTCAAATTTTAATAGGTTGCGGTGCAGGAGCAACCATCTTTATTCCCAGAATTCCCATAATACCAAATAATTTTCCATTCCAATTTAAAAGAACGCAATTCCCAGTATCGGTGTGTTATGCAATGACAATAAATAAGGCTCAAGGGCAGACCTTTCGTGTTGTTGGAGTAGATCTCGGTGTCAGTTGTTTTTCACATGGTCAGTTATGTCGGTCTTTCCCGGGTTAGCAGTCCTAGAATTTTTTATGTTCACGTTCCGGACGGGTAAAATTTCAACGTAGTCTACCCGGAAGCTTTGCGCTGAAGTATTTTCATTCTATATGTACTTAAGGCTCATGTGAAAGCGATCTAAACAATATTACCAATACATTAACATAATAACATACAAGGAGTTACACGCTGATGGTCTCGGGGCACAGTGATAATAATAATATTCTGCGGTTCCTTATTGCGATATTTTTAACAGTATTATATTTCCCTACTAAAATACGAAAGTTAATCTGTCTATCACATCAAAACCACGGAACCCTGAGGAAGGACATATGCTACTTTTTTACGAAAAACGACGATAACGCGGACGAAGTCGCGGGCAAAAGCTAGTTATTGTAATAAGAACAGTCAAATTATATATATTACTAGCTGTCCCAGCGAACTTCGTACCGCCATAAAAAAATAGGGGTTGGTGGTAGAAGGGTGAAAATTTAGGGTTGTATGTATTTGTGTATGATGAATCATAAAAAAATAAAAAAAAAATATCTAAAATTGAAAAAAAAATTTAGGGGTGGATTACCCTTAACATTTAGGGGGATGAAAAATAGATGTCCGATTCTCAGACCTACCCAATATGCACACAAAATTTCATGAGAATTGGCAAAGCCGTTTCTGAGGAGTTTAACCATAAACACCGCGACACGAGAATTTTATATATAAGATTCGTAACGTCAAACAGTGCAAAAATAAAGATAAAAATTTCAAAAAAAAAAAACAAAATTCAATATCGTTTATTCAGTCTAGGCTGTTACAAGCACTTATGAATGTCGAAAAGCTACGCCATCGGTTCGCAAATCTACGGCGGGAGACCTTGTACTGAGAAGAACCGGCAAGAAACTCAGCAAGGGCTGTTTTTTTCTCCCTGTATTGTATACAGAGTCGTCAAATTGAAAAATGACTTCAATATGAGGTAACTGGTGAGGTGAGGATAATAATGAACATAGCACAATAGGTACGGTTCTTAGTCAGATTGAAATAAAATTGCAAGATAATATATTACACTAGTGGCCCGCCCTCGCTTCGCTTCGGTATTTTATCCCCTTGGGGGTAGAATTGATCAAAATCCTTTCTTAGCGGATGCCTACGTCATAATATCTACCTGCATGCCAAATTTCAGCCCCATCCGTCCAGTGGTTTGGGCTGTGCGTTGATAGATCACTATGTCAGTCACCTTTGAGTTTTATATATATAGATTATAATATATGATAACAAGTAAAAAGCTGCAAGCATAATGGGCATCTTTGCGTCAGGAACGATACGAGGCGATATTTGACGATATTTAGATTAATTGAACTGTATTTTATCAGTTATATTTTTTTTTCTAGTTATATTTTCTTTAGATTTAAACATCAAACAGTTCCATGTTTAAAAAAAAATAAAAATTATAACTATAATTTCTATTTCTTCTTTCAAATGTTTAATGCTTGTAAAAGTATTCATTTGACATTGTGAGTTACCTGTAATGCGAAGAGATGGCGCTGCCTCGCAGTTTAAGAATGGCTAGAAGAATTTCGACGCGGCCATCATGGTCGCGGTAGCATAATTGGTCTGTGCTTCGCCCGGATAGCGAAGGGTGCGGGTTCGAGCCCCGTCTGCTGCCTGGTCCGCGTGGAATTTTTGTCTAGTTATTATATTTTCCTTGTATTTTATCAGTAAAAAAAGTTTAATAAAACAAGTAAAAGTAGTTATGTTTTTAATTTTTAAGCATTTAACTGCTAGATGTTTTAATCTAAAGAAAAGTTTACTAGAAAAAATTTCCACGCGGACCAGGCAGCAGACGGGACTCGAACCCGCATCCTTCGCTATCCGGGCGAATGCACTGACCATTGTTTTACCGTGGCCCTGACGGCAGTGTCGAATTTTTCTGTACTTACGCTGCAAGGCAGCGCTGTCTTTTCGCATTGTAGGTAACCCACAATGTACTTCTTCAAATTACCATGAAAATAAAAAGTAGAGTATACATATATAGTATAATAATAAAAGGACAGCAACAACACAGCCGCTATCGCCTACTTAAGCCTTTTCAATATCCTCCAATATTCTCTGGGTTCTGAATTTTCAGGTTTTCAACGCCCACGAGGTTTGTCACCCGTTTTGGGAAACCTAACTTAACATCAATACATTTTAAAACTATATTTATTTAAACGTAATAGTACATTATTGTAGCAATCAGCTAGAGAGGCATTGATGGAAGAACGTGTAAATCATCGTACGACGTATCATCCATAAAGCCATCAATGCCTAGTTGAGGCCAAACCTGGGCAGAACTTTCCTCACAATCATTAACAAACAACGAACAACAACACTCATTCATTTGTTTGTTTATATTATTTCAATTTATTTTGATTTCGTCTACTTCAATGCTACATTTGGCCTATAGTCCTCTATGGTTGCGAAGCTTGGACTATTAAAGAGGACCTTCGTAGACGTATTGAGGCTTTTGAAATGTGGACTTACCGACGCATCCTCTCAATCAGCTGCACTCAAAAAGTTACAAATGTCGAAGTTCTAAGACGTGTCGGTCAAACTCGCAAATTGATGCAGACCATCAAAACAAGAAAAGTTGCCTACCTCGGTCATGTCTTCAGACACGAGAGATACGATTTACTGCAACTCATTATGATGGGCAAAATTGCGGGGAAACGTCGAGTAGGCCGTCGGAAAAAGTCGTGGCTTCGAAACATCCACGAGTGGACCGGTGTCAAGAGCGCCGCGGAATTGTTTCATCTCGCCAGGGACAAAGCGAGGTTTTCAAGGCTGATGTCCAACCTTCAGTAATTGGAGAGGAACATGAAGAAGAAGAATATTATTTCAAGTAACAAGTGATTTCCACGCGGTCCTGGCAGCAGACGGGTTAAATATGATTACGGAAAAACAAACTATATATTCTCATTAATTTATCATAAAATGTTACTTATTACATATAAATTTATTCACAGGTCTAATACAATTATTTTTTATTATTTTCAGATACGTTTTCCTGGACACACAACTAGTTTTTACAGATGTCAGAAAAGAAGATGCTGGTGTTTATAAGTAAGTTCAAAAATATCTAATGTTTATTGAAGTGAAAACTTCTTTAGCGGCGTTGTATACTTTTTTTTTGTATGGGTAAAAAATATTAAACTCGCGTCAGGTTAAACATGTGGGCTGATCGCATCATGACACACAATAAAATTGGAAAGGTTGTTGACTTTCAATATATTGGACGAAACATATATTTTATTTTACCATATTATAATAATAAGTCTCTATCTAGGACGTCCACGTGGCAGCTTTATTGCGAAGAAAATGCGTTTTTTTACAATAGATGTCGCTAGGTGCGCTTAAATGTAATTCATGTAAGTTGTTTTTTCTGACAGATAAACTTTTTTAATGTAATATAAATTGTCATGTTTGTGTACGATAGCGCAATAAATAAATATTGTATTCTAACACATACATGATAGTACTTTTATACTGATAATTAAAGCAATTCGTGCAAAATTATTCGCTAACTGCTCCAAAATATCAAAAATGCACAACGTTAATATTCAAGTTTTCACTTCTGCCGGCACTCCCGGGGTGCAACCCGTCGTTTTTTTATGTGATCTTCTGTAAGGTTACTTCCCCGTCCGTGCGCGGAAAATCCGCTATGCCATACCTCATTTGTTTAATACTAACAATGAAAATCATTATTTACAACATCTCCTTGTTGAAACGTATTTGAAGTAAAGGCCTGTTTTTTTGACTGATATTATCAATCTGATACATCATCAGGTACGGTTGGTAAATGCAATGTTTCACAAATACTTTATGGAGACCACTTTGACAAGTTGCTTATAAGTAGACACGGAGACAATTGGTATACAGCTGGACTCCATTTAAGCCAGAGCAGACCAGCCACCGTAGCATGAAAGATAAAGCTTTTTATACTTTGCTACTTAATAGGGTATTTGACAAGTTTTAGAAAACAATCTCACGTTATTGACTAATGTTGATGAATTTCGTAAAAAGTGGATATTCATCATTCTGTTGTGTATTTCAGTAAAAATAACCAAATCAAAAACTCCATTTTCAAGTTGCCGCGAAAACGTATCTCTGGACAATATGGCGTCTTACTAGTGTGTGATGTGACACGACTGTTATTAAAACGTCAAACGATACAATGTTATGTCACTTTAACCGGAAGTTTACTTGCGTGTGACGTCATTTTAGGCTCCGCCAATCCCAAGCGTTTTGGATCACGTGACAATAGATAAGAAAACTATTATCTTTTTCGTGGGTTTTTAGTAAAATTATGATTTTTTTTTGTAAAAATAGTAAAAACCCCTGCCAATACTCATTCTTAACACAGATGCTAACAATTGGCACTTTATTATTAATACTGTCAAACACCCTATTGTAAAACCCCATTACAGTATGAAAGTCAATTTCGATATATCGATTTATCTTGTTGTGCTTTAGTGCTCATGCTGGGGGACTAGTCAGATGTTGATCGGGAGATGTTCGGATGATGATCGGAAATGGGTCGCGTGCTGATCGAATAGTATGACCATGGACCAATCTATGATCATTTTACGCTAGTACTTACTCCCATATTCTGTATTTGTTCAAACAACAAATACTGAATAAACCGGGGTGCTCCGTTATAATTTATCGTTAAATTAACAGATGTGTAGCGACAAACACGTACCTGAACAAGACCCGCTCCAGCCGCAGCGGGTGGCTGGAAGTCCTCGACCCCCAAGACACGGAGCCGGCGATCCTACCCCTGGAGGACCAAGTCAACATCACCGCGCCGAGGTTCGCCAGGGTACAGCTGTTGTGCCCCGTGCTCGGATGGCCGAGGCCTAAAGTAAGTCAAACAAATAAAAAAATAATGAAATATATACCGCACTACCTGTCACCGGAGTCGAGTTCAACCATCATCATCATCAGCCTATTAATGTCCCCACTGCTGGGGCAATGGCCTTCCCCATGGATGGAATAGGAAGATTGGGCCATGACCCACCACGCGGGCCCAGTGCGGATTGGTGGGTGCTAACGACTGCAGATGCAGCCGGGACCAACGGCTTAACGTGCCTTCCGAAGCACGGAGGAGCTCGAGATAGTAAATTTTCGGTCACCCATCCAATGACCGACCACTGCGAAAGTTGCTTAACTTCAACGATCGCAGCCGAACGCGCTAACCACTTGCGCTATCAAGCTCCTCCTCTATAAAGTTCAACCATATTACCTGGAAACACTGAAGTCCACAACTTCTCGTTTCCAAAGATCTTTTATTCCAAGTACAACAACATTATGGAATGAGCTCACCTCCACGGTGTTCCTCCAGGAATATCAAATGGTCCTCTTCAAGAAAGGCTTAAATAGAGTGCTTCACGAAAGATAGCGGCTTGGCTGTGTCACTGGCATAGCTGATGTCTATGGATGACGAACCGCTTGCTTTCGACGGCAATAAAAAAACAATCTTAAATAAAAAAGACTTCATTCCTACTTTATTTAAGAAAAAAAATGGCAAAAATACAGCACCGCTCAGTTCGTCTTGATGCGATAGATTATGAAAAATACATTAAAGAATAGTCTGTGTGGTAATGCCGCAATTGTATTTGGTCGTTAGCTCATATTCGGGTGCACGAAAGACGTTACCTGAATACGAGCGTACTAGACTACGTTCATTTATAAGTATAAAGTTCATTTATAGTACGAGCGTAATAGACGACGTTCATTTATCTTCGTTTATCAGGTCGATTATCAAAAAGTATTGGACAAATATTTTTTATTTTTTCATATAATATAAACATTGCAGAGATATATTGATTTGAAAAGTCGCATGACGTCACGTTTGAGTACACTTATAAGTGAAAATTTACTCAAAAGTGACGTCACGAGCCCCTACTGTCTAAGTAGACGTTTACCCGAAAACCATTGACAATCGTCCGGCAAACGACTAAGTATATTAGCGCCATTATTCTTCTTTTTGGATTTTAAGACGGAGATGGTCCGAGCCTTATACCTCCACGCGAACTTTCCTATATGATAGCTAAACTTTAACATTGTAATTTAAGTGTCTAATCAATAAAATTATTCTTCGATATTTCCTAGATAACTTGGGAGTTCACGTCTCCTGGAAGCAGGACGGCGATCTTGGAGTCCACTGACGAAGTGCTGGTATTGATCAGCTTGGAATTTGATCTGGAGGGGGTTTACCGGTGCATCGTCGATGGTCACAGCCATCTGTCTAAAGTAAGTCATGAATTTCAAGAAATATGGTTTTTATAAATGTCCTAGCCTTCCTCGTATTATTTCTGCTTTCGTCCTTAAAGAAAGAAAATAAAATATTGATTATTTCAAAGATTGAACAATTGCCAGAATTCAGAATTTATGGAAAAAAGCAAGACAATTTTTGCTGCAGTCCCTGATTTTTACAATGACCAATTCTCTTTCTTTTTGTTGTTTTAATAAATGGCCTAGCCTACCTCGTGTTATTTCTGCTTTTGTCTTTAAAGAAATGACATTGATTACTTCAAAGATTGAAGAATTGCCAGAATTCAGAACAAGAATTGGAAAAAAAGCTAGACAATTTTTGCTACAAAGTTCCTGATTTTTACAATGACCAATTCTCTTTCTTTTTGTTGTTTTAATAAATGGCCTAGCCTTCCTCGTGTTATGTCTGCTTTCGTCTTTAAAGAAATGACATTGATTACTTCAAAGATTGAAGAATTGCCAGAATTCAGAACAAGAATTGGAAAAAAAACTAGACAATTTTTGCTACAAAGTACCTGATTTTTACAATGACCAATTCTCTTTCTTTTTGTTGAATTCACTTGTAAATTACCGCCTGTTTTGCAAGTGTCTGTTTTGAATGAGGGTTCCAAATATTAAAACTAAATCATCGATTTGTTGCACTTATAAAGTTAAAAATAAATAACTAGGTAACATTTTGGCGCAGCACCCTTTTCTTTTACATAAGTTTGCCGTTTGCTGACACCACTAGGCGCCACATATCTCCGTCAATACGTATTCATCACCATCATCATCAGCCAATGGACGGCCACTGCTGGACGTAGGTTTCCTCAAGTGTTTGCCATACACAACGTCCCTGCACTTTCCGCCAGTGGAATCCGCAATACGTATTAAATATGTGCATCCGCAATATGCATTAAATCATATTTAAATCGCCAGGTATTCTCCGTATTGGTAACGGAGCCAATCAGCATCATTCTCCCGCCCGTCTCCAAGGAAGTGATCCGCGCGAGCACTGTTCGCTTCAATTGTTCTGCTTCGGGAAGACCAGCTCCAACCATCACCTGGTATAAAGACGGAAGGTTGCTGCAGCTGGGAGGGAGGGTAAGATATCATCAAAACCATAATACTATTAGTAGCCGCTGACAGAGGGTAAGATAATACCATCATCATAAGACCAACCATCACCATGGTACAAGGATGGAAGACAGCTGGGAGGAAGGGTGAGGAATGTCATAATTATCAGGGAATAGCATCATCATCAGACTAGAAGAAGGCGGTGATCAACTGTTCGGCGTCATTGAGACCTACTATAAGGGGACCCCCTCCCCCCCTATTGTCAATATTCCGTCACAAAAACGGAGAAACCCCCCCCCCCCCCCCCAAGTATGATTAATTTCAATTGATAGTACACAAATTTTAAGAATTTAAATATTTATTTAGTTTTTATAATAAAATTTAAATATAATTATAACAAAACAAAGGCCTGTGTTTAGTGCAGCAAAAAACGGTGTCGGGTAGCAGTGTGTACTAGTACTTTTTTTTTTGGCGCGCGGGTGGTTCCTCGAAGGTTAAGTATTGGTAAAACAAAGAAATCGATTGTCACGAATTGTAACGCTGCTAGAGTCAAGTCAATAGGCTAGAGCCGCGCCACAGAGCTAGCGCTAATGTCGTATATCAAGTTACAATTTTATTTATTGTATAATAAAACTATATACGTTTGAATGTCTATATGTTTACTAAATACGAAATAAATGATTTTCTATCTTGATGAAAATTGAGAAAGAAAAATAGTTGAAAGAAATACTAATTTAAAATTTTTCAATGAACGACGAACGTCACGTTGCAAGACCCCCCCCCCCCCCCCCCTGCATGCGAACGTATTTTATGAACGGCCCCTAACCTTTACCTGGTACAAGAACGGCAGGCTGCTGCCGCTGGGAGGAAGGTTGAGATATTATCATCATCATAAAACTATTAGTAGCCAGTGAGGAAAGAGACCCGCTCCAACCATCACCTGGTATTAAGACGGAAGGTTGCTGCAGCTGGAAGGATGGGTAAAGGAATATCATCATTAACAGCGAATAGCTCATCAGACTATAAGTAGACGGTGATCAACTAATCCACATCAGGGAGACCTCCAACTCTCACCTAGTACAAGGACGGCACACTGCTGCCGCTGGGAGCGATCATAAACATCTAGCTCATCAGCTAGTTTCCACTGCTGGCTCCCTATGAATAAAATGGAGAGAACGGATAAGACCCACCATGCAAGTACAGTGTCGATTATTTATTGCTAACGACTGCAGTGCAGATGTAATCCAACGGCATAAAATGCCTTCAAAAACATGAAGAACTTAGAGATAATAATTGTTTTGTTTGCGTAAATTTAAGAAAGTTGCATGACATCCATGACTGGAGAGCGATCGCTTTATCTACTGTTCTATTCAGCTCTTCAAGACGCTAAATCTTCTATACATATATATATATACATAAATATACCAATATATTTAGAATGTTAGTTCTAAGGATATATTACTAGCTGTCCCAGCGAACTTCGTACCGCCATAAAAAATAGGGGTTGGTGGTAGAAGGGTGAAAATTTAGGGTTGTATGTATTTTTGTATGAAGTATCATAAAAAAATATATCTAAAATTGAAAAAAAAATTAGGGGTGGATTACCCTTAACATTTAGGGGGATGAAAAATAGATGTTGTCCGATTGTCAGACCTACCCAATATGCACACAAAATTTCATGAGAATCGGGAAAGCCGTTTCGGAGGAATTTGACCACAAACACCGCGACACGAGAATTTTATATATTAGACAATATGCATGTCTATCTACCACGATAGCTCTTACAATATATCTTTGCTAAATATATTTCTCATTGAATGTATTGTAATTTCAGTTCAATATGCGATCCTCGACTTCTGGCAACCGCTATCAGTTGGTAGTAGGTGGAGTTACATCAGCAGATGCAGGTAATCATTGTCATTCAACAGTTCATCATCAACCACTTTTCAAGTCATGGCAGTCCTGCTAAACGTAGTTTATTGAATAGGGATGATGACTAATTTTTTTTTCTTCGTTTCTCCCAAACTTTGACGCGCTATAACTTTGTCATTTTTTGGTTGATTGCCCAAAGAAAAAATACGTGTCCATTATTTTTTGATCATCTAACTGACGAACTAAATAGAATTTGGTTTACTGTACCCCGTCATCACCCCTATTATAGTCATTTGTTTTATTATTAGATTTCCATGTCAGCTTTCTACGGTTCTAATATACTTACAAAAATAAAACCAAATGAGCTTAGGATTTAAAGAAAATTACTCGAATCCGCACCCTTCGCTATCCGGGTGAGTGCACTGACCATTATGCCACCGCGGCCCAGATGGCCGTGTCGAATTCTTTCTAGCCTTTCTTAAGCTGTAAGGCAGCGCCATCTCCTCGCATTGTAGGTAACCCACAATGCCAAATGTATACCTTTACAAGTTTTAAACATTTTAAAGAAGAAACATCAATAAGGTATTTGACAGTATTAAAAATAAATTGCCAATTGTTAGCATCTGTGTTTAGAATGAATATTGGCAGGGGTTTTTACTATTTTTACAAAAAAATATTCATAATTTTATTAAAAACCCACGAAAAAGATAATAGTTTGCTTATCTACTATCACGTGACCCAAAACGATTGGGATTGGCGGAGCTTAAAATGACGTCACACGCAAGTAAACTTCCGGTTAAAGTGACATTACATTGTATCGTTTGACGTTTTAATAACAGTCGTGTGACCTCACACACTAGTAAGACGCCATAATATCCAGAGAAACGTTTTCGCGGCAACTTGAAAATCGAGTTTTCGATTCGGTTATTTTTACTGAAATACACAACAGAATGATGAATATCCACTTTTTACGGACTCCATAAACATTAGGCAATAACGTGAGATTGCTTTCTAAAACTTGTCAAATACCCTATTATAGTTATATTTTTTAAGAATCTTAACTGCTCGATGTTTAATACTAGTGAAAAAAAACTTAAATCTAATCTTTAGATTTAAACATCTAGCAGTTACATGCTTAAAAAATATGTAGAGCTTATTATTTATTATGAGGAGATCGATGGCGCAAGTGGTTAGCGAGTTCGGCTGCGATCGTTGAACTTAAGCAACTTTCGCAGTGGTCGGTCATTTGATGGGTGACCAAAAATTACTATCTCGAGCTCCTCCGTGCTTCGGAAGGCAAGTTTAGCCGTTGGTCCCGGCTGCATCTGCAGTCATTAGCACCCACCAATCCGCACTGGGCCCGCGTGGTGGGTCAATGCTCAATCTCCCTATTCCATGCATAGGGAAGGCCTGTGCCCTAGCAGTGGGGACATTAATAGGCTGATGATGATGATGATTTATTACGGTGCTGCTCGTGGCAGGTGTCTACCAATGCTTCGCAAGCAATGCCGTCTCGACGGTATCGTCTTGGGCGGCACTGGCCGTTACCGGTGCTAGAGCCGCCGCCCCGCCCCGCGCCCGCTGCTGGCCAATGGGGGGCGCCGTGCTGCTGCGGTGGGAGGAGCCCCGCGCCAATGTCATGGCATACATGGTGCATACTACCCTGCCAGGTGAGTGTAATACTGTACCTTTATTCCCAGCTCCCTACGACAACGGGTGACTAGAGCCGAACTCCGGGTCTCAGAGACGTGCTCTAGTTGAGCCGACCATCACAGTTTCGAGTGGTCTAGAGGTTCCAGACGGAGAGGAGACTCCCTCCCGTGGGGAGATGCCATCCGCCTGGTTGGCAGGGTAATGCTGCGGTGGGAGGAGCCCCGCGCCAATGTCATGGCATACATGGTGCATACTACCCTGCCAGGTGAGTGTAGTTCCCAGCCCCCCACGACAACGGCTGACTAGAGCCGAACTCCGAGTCTCAGAAACGCGCTCTAGTTGAGCTGACCCTCACAGGTTCGAGTGGTCTAGAGGCTCCAGACGGAGAGGAGACTCCCCCCGTGGGGAGATGCCATCCGCCTGGATAGCAGGGTAATGCTTCGCGGGCCACGATCATGGCGTAGATGGTGCACACCACCCTGCCAGGTGACTGTACTGTACCTTTATTCCCCGCCCTCCATGACAACCAGTGCCGTCTTTGTCCTATTGGAGGCCCTGGGCATATTAGGACAATTTGGCCCCTGTAGCCAAGCCTGGGGAGCTGTATTCATCTGTATTAAATTTAAAATACAAAATTTTGCAAAGTATCGACCAGGGAATCACTAACCCTGATAATACAGTTTTTACTTGTTTTTGGGTTAGGGGTCCATTTTTTGAGCTTTTTGTATGTATACCCCTAGACTTAATTAGAGTTACTTAGAATGTGAAGTGTTGGGTTATGAGTAAATGATTATTATTATTGTTAGGTGAGTGTACTGTGCCCTTAGTCCCCGCCCCCTACGACAACGGCTAACTAGAGCCGAACTCCGAGTCTCAGAGACGTGCTCTAGTTGAGCTGACCCTCACAGGTTCGAGTGGTCTAGAGGCTCCAGACGGAGAGGAGACTCCCCCCGTGGGGAGATGCCATCCGCCTGGTATACCTCTAGAGGCACTCGCCAATTTTCGGCTTGAGGTCCCCCCTTAGGATCTCGCCGTCCTCAAACTACTCGAATTCGATATTGGTTTGTGCTATTGGTACAAAACCGTTTTGACGTGATAACGTATTAGAAATCGATAAACACTGGTTGCAAAAAGTGTGACATCAGTCACGTTATATGACGTCATGTCACGAGTCACGTAATGTAAGTTCAACATACCGTGGTGTGTTCCTTTGACAACCCTCCCCCCAATAGTGTAGCTGTGACATTATTGTGGATACTGATAGAAGTGGTAAACTCGGTGTTAATTATTAGAAAATAGAATAATACTGAAAATAATATAAACTCGTTAATTCATTGTAAATTATACAGTATTATGATACGCTTAAATAACTGCCAAGCTGTTGTTTTATTAACAGTAAGGGAAACGTTTTAATGCATTCCAGTGTCATTATACAAAATCATATATTTGTTCTAGGTTATCCCGGAAGTCCTCACAACAGAACAGAAGAGACCATCCCAGTTACGGAACCGCTGAAAACTTATTCCTTCCAGGTCCGTATGATCACTTATAATGGGGTATTTGACAGTATTAAAAATAAAGTGCCAATTGTTAGCATCTGTATTTAGAATGAATATTGGCAGGAGTTTTTACTATTTTTACAGAAAAATATTCATAATTTTACTAAAAACCCACTATAAAGATAATAGTTTTCTTGTCTATTGTCACGTGACCCAAAACGCTTGGGATTGGTGGAGACTAAAATGACGTCACACGCAAGTAAACTTCCGGTTAAAGTGACATTTGATTGTATGGTTTGACGTTTTAATGACAGTCGTGTGACGTCACACACCAGTGCGACGCCATATTGTCCAGAGATGCGTTTTTCGCGGCAACTTGAAAATAGAGTTTCTGATTTGGTTTTTTTACCGAAATACACAATATTATGATGAATATCCTTTTAATGGACTCTATAAACATTAGTAAACAACGCGAGAGCGTTTTCTAAAAATTGTCAAATACCCTCTTGTAAAATATTTTAGTGCTTTTGATAGATGTTAATAAAGTATGATTCCTCGTGACAGGTCCGAGCTTTCATTCAAGGAACAGAAAAGAATGTGGCGACAGACATGTCGGATGCTGTGAGTTGTCAGGGTCAAGGAGGTGAGTGTACTTTATAATTAATTTTTTAATTATTATCCCAAGAACTGGCTCAAAAAAGGCTATTATAACATTGCAAAGACGTGTTCTCGAATAGTCGCCCTCAGTGCAACGTTTATAAATAAGTTGACAATTAAATTGTGAAAATTTTGTAAAGTTATTTAAAAATTGAGGAATGCAAATATTATATAGTCAAAAAAAAAAAACGAAAACCTTCAAAAAAAGAGCGTACTCCTTCCTTAAAGGCCGGCATCGCATTTGTGATACTCCTGGTGTTGCAAGTGTCCATGGGCGACGGTGATCACTTACCATCAGGTGAGCCGTCTGCTCGTATGCCCCCTATAACACAAAAAAAAACATAATTTTATAATTAATGTGATGCTTGGCTATTCATTGGTATTTGCTATTTGTGATATTGAACAGTCCTGTCCTTATCATAAACAATCATCATCAGCCTATTTATGTCCCCACTGCTGGGGCACAGGCCTTCGCTATAGATGGAATAGGGCAATTGGGCCATGACCTACCATGCGGGCTCAGTGCAGATTGGCGGGTGCTTAACATGCCTTCCGAAGCACGGACTAACTCGAGTTAGAAGATTTTTAGTCACCCATCCAATGACCGACTATTGCGAAAGTTGCTTAACTTCAACTTCACACGCGCTAACTTCCTGCGCCATTGAGCTCCTCAATATCATGCTTTATAAGGAATAAAAATTCAGACTGATGTCACGTTTACAAATAGCAAACACGAATAGCGAAGTGATGTGCTAGCATTACAATTGACTTTAAAAAGTGAATAAATTAACATTGTCCTTAATAATTTTAGTGCCAGTAAGGATATTGAAGCAGAGTGAAGAAAGCATCATGGTTTCTTGGAAGGAGTTCGTTGAAAAGACGCCAGGCGTAGCACAGTGGATCTTACAGTACAGACCGGTCAATTCTACCAATGAACATAACATCACTTTACCAGGGCGAGCGTACAACTATACTTTACATGGTAACATACTGTTTATTTTAAATATTATCTTAATCACAATCTCTAATTTATTAGCGTCACTGCTCTGGTTGCAGTTTTCTTTATCATCATCATTATCATCATAAGCCTACTAATGTCCCCAATGCTGGGCACAGGCCTTCCCTATGGATGGAATAGGGAGACTGGGCGATGATCCACCACGCGGGCCCAGTGCGGATTGGCGGGTGCTAACGACTGCAGATGCAGCCAGGACCACCGGCTTAGTGTGCCTTCCAAAGCGCGGAGGAACTCGAGATAGAAGAGTTTTGGTCACCCATCCATTGACCGACCATTGCGAAAGTTTCTTAATTGCAACAATTGCAGCCGAACGCGCTAGCCACCTGCCCTATCAAGCTCCTTCTTAGGTTTTTTATTTAGTTTGCTGTTATTGTGAATTTGGGCTAACGTTTGAGGATTATTTCAAAAACTGCCTTTGTAGTGTATTTTGGCATTTTATTATGCTGTTTTAAAACTTTAATGCCTTGATCAATATTAAATTTTCCTTGGCGGTGGTACTAGGTAATTTTCTTACATGTGTATTGCACCTACATAATACATTATCAATATCAAAATCAAATATTTACTCAGCTGTGATTTCACTTAACATTTTTCTTGAAACTATGCAAAATTGTTAATTTCTGTTAAAAATAAATATTTTCTCTTCAATAGTGACTGCAGAAGAGCCTATTGAAATACGTCTCTTGGGATCAATGAGTGAAGATTGGCTGCCGATGAACCTGACATTCCTGCCGTGGATCCCCACCAAAGGACAGGACGACGCTGGGTGAGGTTCTGTGGGTCTCCAATCCACCGATTGCTTTCAACAAGTTCTTTTAGCTATCACACAAATATTTGATTAAAGTTAACTATTATTTATAAATGTTTTTATTTTATATATAACGTAAGATATTGCTATCAAAATAAATAATAATAAATATTTTCATCACTCACACCAATTAGCCTAGCACCAAAGTAAACACTGTAAGGCTTGTGTTATGGGATACTTGGGTAACGGATAGAATACATATATTGTACATATATAAGTATATTTATATAGAAATACATATTAAACATCCACGACTGGAGTACAAATGCTCGTATTCATCACACAAACATCTGCCCCCATGAAACCATGAAACCCGGCGTATAAACCACTCGGCCACGGAGGTCGTCGGTAAATATTAGTCAATAAATTATATTTGAAGTGCATTTTTGAATACTATTATCCCTTTCTCATTGTAGGTAATCCACAATGTCAAATGAATACTTTTTCAAGTATTAAACATTTGAAAGAAGAAATAGCAATTATAGTTATGATTTTATTTATTTTTTAAGCATTTAACTGCTAGATGTTTAAATATAAAGAAAAGTTTACTAGAAAAAACTATTATTAATATTTGTTTCTTAGGTGTTCACGCACATCACTCATTAAATAAAACTAGTTCATAACGGGTTAATGCACGAACTTTATTTATTTATCGACGTTTCGCAGCCTTTTCAGGTCTGCATCATCAGAATGCATCCTGAAAAGGTTGCGAAAACTATTATTAATAATAAATTATACATAAACAAAATGATAAATCATTTAATGATAAAAGGAAAACAAACAACATTATTCATCTTTATCTTCGTACACTCTTTTCTATCGAAACGTACGCACATGAATTTTGATTTCCATAGTGGTTATTGTCAAATTCATATTACAGCAAAGCAAGTGCAATTCCAGTGGATGTGCGAGTATCACAAATAAAGCAGAGGGAGTTCACCGTCAGATGGCATTACGAAGGACCGGAGACTACTTTTATTGTGTGTGTCAAAAAGTTTGATGGTGCCAGCAAGTGCATAGAAAGGTAACTAATTATCATCTATGTAGATGATATTATTAAACATAATAGGGTATTTGACAGTGTTAAAAATAAAGTGCCAATTGTTAGCATATGTGTTGAGAATGAATATTGGCAGGAGTTTTTACTATTTTTACAAAAAAAAAATATTCATAATTTTACTCAAAACGCACGAAAAAGACAATAGTTCTCTTATCTATTGTCACGTGACCCAAAACGCTTGGGATTGGCGGAGCCTAAAATGACGTCACACGCAAGTAAACTTCCGGTTAAAGTGACATTGCATTGTATCGTTTGACGTTTTAATACCGGTCGTGTGACCTCACACACTAGTAAGACGCCATATTGTCCAGAAAAACGTATTCGCGGCAACTTGAAAATGGAGTTTTTGATTTGGTTATTTTTACCGAAATACACAATAGAATGATAAATATACACTTTTTACGGACTCCATAAACATTAGTCAATAACGTGAGATCGATTTCTAAAACTTGTCAAATACCCTATTGCTTTGCTAGTCGTTGATTTATTTTTTTACTAAGAAACAAAATAGCGCAATAAAATTTTAGACATTGTTTTCTATATATTACTGTTGTACTTTAAATTTGGTAGATTTAATTGGAAAAATCCTCCAAAATTCCTAAAAACCTTCTCTTACGAAGCTAAAATACTAATAAGGATCAGAAACAAGGGAAAAGGCAATTAAATTGGGCAAAAAAAATATAACTAATTTAAAAATGTCTCAACATTAAAATAATTTTACTTTTGACATGTCTTGTCACTTTTAGTTCTATTAATTGTTATTTGCATTTCAATTTACAATTTTTATTTTATTTTTTCTAGTAAAAAAAAACTAAAATCTTGTGATTTATAAATCTAGCGGTTACATGCCGAAAATTACATTATAATAAACTTAACGTATTTTTGTTAGTGTCAACACCACAATGACAGTGGATGAGCTGGAACCCGACACGAAGTACTTAGTGGATGTGGCGGCGAAGACAGCAGGATCTAAACCTGGTCCTTCGAGTACATCTATAGCTGTTACTACACCCATTGATGGTATGTTTATTACGTACAAATTGTATCACAACAGTATTTTCAAAATCTGAAAGTAACTATTAACAACGATATTAAATACCCTAGATACACCAACACGAACAAAATCGTGCCCAAAACCTGTCCAAAAGGTACATTGGACTATCCACGGAGCTCCGTAAGATGATCGCGTAGTGAAAAATAATATAAGACATTTTTTAAACCTTGAAAGTCCCCTTTAATACATACGGTATAAGATCTTAATTAAAACACAAAGATTTATGACACTTCGAAATGCAAGCTCGTAAAATGTTACCGACTTATTGCTATACGCGGAGGAATATAGACCTTATTTCTTAAAGTCTGCGCGCAATTCTGAATGCGCTGTTAGCAATATAGCAGGTACGGACCGCAAGGAAAAGAGACAGCTAGATAGATCATTAATATATTCTATTAAATAGGTTTATAGTAAGTATTAGAACAAATTTGCTTCAAATGCGTTAAATTAACAAACATTGGTGGTGATTCTGGCACGATTCTCTAAATCTAAACTTAAATTTGACAACAGTGCATCCTTGCCATTCTCTATACAGAATGAAAAGGAGAGACTGATGTTAAATTTAGTTTTAAGTTTAGAGAATCACTCTAGAATCGACACCATTGAGATGAAACCTATCGGATCAGTTTTGAGCCGCGAGTGTCGTATTCCCTTTTTGTTTTAATCTAAGGCCTGTATTACAGAATGACAACTAAGTGTTGATCTTTACTTGAGCACAGTTAGAAAGGGATATTGCTATGTGCTATATATAGCGACATCCCTTTTTAACTATGCTCAAGACTAGATCAATCACTGAGAATCTTTCTATAATACGGGCATAAGACTCGAACCTGTTCTAAACACACAACACTCACAATATAATTTTCCTGTAAGTGAACATAGAAGTTTACAACTCAATCCTTGGCAGGTCCAGATTTCTTCAAAGACCTGACATGGAAGCTTTTGAACGCCACCACGGTGCGAGTGTCTTGGAACGCGCCGCCTGCCAAGTACACCGTGTTGTATAGCTCCAAGTTGGATGTGCCCGTGGAACTGTGGGACTCTGTTGCTACTGATGAGAACACGGCATTGGTGAGTTTGTTTTAAGTTTTTTTCTAGCTGACCCAGCGAACTTCATACCGCCATAAAAATAGGGGCTGGTGGTGGAAGGGTGAAAATTTAGAGTTGTATATATTTTTTAATGACGGAGGTTTGACGACCTCCGTGGTCGAGTGGTTTGTACGCCGGGTTTCATGGCTGTCGCCGACTCGAGAGGTCCCGGCTTCGAATCCCGGTGGGGGCAGATGTTTTTGTGATGAAAACGAGCATTTGTACTCTAGTCATGGATGTTTAATATGTATTTCTATATAAATATACTTATATACGTAATGTATATATATTCTATCCGTTACCCTAGTATCCCATAACACAAGCTTTACAGTGCTTTCTTTGGGGCTGGGCTAATTGGTGTGAGTGTTGGAAATATTTATTTATTTATTTAATGCCAAAATATTTAGGGGTATGAAAAATGGATAGTAGCCGATTCTCAGGCATACTGAATTTGCATATAAAATTTCATAAAAATGGGTGAAGCCGTTTCGGAGGAGTATGGTAACTAACATTGTTACACGAGAATTTTATATATAAGATTTTTTAGGCATGTCCAAATCTGAAGAAAATTTTACTAGTGAAAATTCCACGGGGACCAGGCAGCAGACGGGACTCGAAACCGCACCCTTCGCTTTCTGGGCGAATGCACTGACCATAATGCTTTTAAGTTTCATATAGCTTTGTTTTTGTGATACATTGCATGTTAAAATTTTTTGGTTACTCTGTTTTCACTCCCTAGCGTAATCTCACTTTATGTTTTAATTTTATCCCCTTGGGGGTAGATTTGATCAAAATCGTTTCTTAGCAGATGCCTACGTCATAACATCTACCTGTATGCCAAATTTCAGCCAGATCCGTCCAGTGGTTTGGGCTGTGCGTTGATAGATCACTATGTCAGTCAGTCAGTCACCTTTGAGTTTTATATATATAGATAAATAAAGCAGAAAGCATTTAAGATTTTCTTAGGAATATAATAATTAGAAGGGGTCATTAGGACCACACTCTGATTCGTGAATTATTTTTTTTAATATAAACAACGCTTGCTAAAGTTTCTTATTCTTTTTTGCTTTCGCAAAGAATGTGACAGTAAGAACTTCAATGCGCTTCTTACTGTAAAACTAGTTATTTTTCGAATTATGCCAGTAGCTTGTGTTCTTCTTCAAACTCTTATCTATCTCTTTTCCAAAATTTATCACAATTGTTTTAACTGTTTAAACATAATAATATAGTTTAGTTAACAAACTTAAAACTACGAAATCTGTTTTCGTATACTAAAATTTTGAAGTATGAATGTGTGAATTTACGATTTTTTTGAGTGTGTATGCTGTTGGTCGCAGATGACCTTTACAGCGTCACCGGGTTTAAGGACAGCGAGATCCTAAGGGGACCTCAAGCCGAGAATTGGCGAGTACCTCTAGAGGTATTCCAGGCGGATGGCATCTCCCCACGGGGGGAGTCTCCTCTCCGTCTGGAGCCTCTAGACCACTCGAACCTCTGAGGGGGAATAACTTACGATAGTCCCTTACAATTGCCCGCACCCTTACCAGACTTAATAGGAACAAACTCCGCATAATTATAGGAACCCTAACTGGTCATTGTCCCCTAAACAAACACCTATACACAATAGGAGTAACAGACAGCCCCCTATGCAGAGGATGTATGGAGGCAGAGGAAACGCCACAGCATGTCATTATGGAATGCAGGAGTGTGGCCGACCAACGGGCACGACTTCTCCAGTCACCCGCATCGCTTCCGGAAGCTTGCAGCAGTCTGCCAAGACTGCTCTCCTTCTGGACTAACCTAGGCTGGCTGGAGTAAAATGAAAAAGAATGTTTCAAGACACGCACAATGGTCCAATGATTAGGACTAAGTGCGGAAACCGCCCTGAAAAACTAAACTAGTCCCTTAAAATCTTTATATGTTTCAGATACACGGCATCGACACGACGAAGGACACTTATGTAATGGTGACAGGCTACGATCCTCTCGTGTACAGTACAGTCAAGACAATATCAGCACAAACACCAGGTTGGCACACATTTATTGCTACGTATAATTTAAACTAATACTATATTTGTTTGCCTAAAGACGAAAGTCTTCAATCAGTGCGCCCTACCTGTGATGACATACGGAGCCGAGACGTGGACACTGACAGTACGGCTGGTCCACAAGTTCAAAGTCGCTCAGCGCGCTATGGAAAGGGCTATGCTCGGCGTTTCTCTGAAGGATCGCATCAGAAATGAGGTAATCCGACAGAGAACCAGAGTCATCGACATAGCCCACCGAATTAGCAAGTGTAAGTGGCAGTGGGCGGGCCATATTTGCCGAAGAACTGATAACCGTTGGGGTAGACGAGTTCTGGAGTGGAGACCGCGTCTAGGCAAACGTAGTGTGGGACGTCCTCAGGCACGATGGAGTGACGATTTGCGCAAGGTGGCTGGCAGGAGCTGGATGCGAGTAGCCCAAGATCGATCTGAGTGGCGTGCTATTGGAGAGGCCTATGTCCAGCAGTGGACTAGGATAGGCTGTTGATGATATTTGTTTCCGTTTAAAAACTCGATGGCGCAGGTGGTTAGCGCGTTCGGTTGCGATCGTTGAAGTTAAACAACTTTCACAGTGGTCGGTCATTGGATGGGTGACCAAAAATCTTCTATCTCGAGTTCCTCCGTGCTTTCCCACGTTAAGCCGTTGGTCCCGACTGCATCTGCAGTCGTTAGCATCCGCCAATCCACACTGGGCCTGCGTGGTGGGTCATGGCACAATCTCCCTATTCCATCCATAGGGAAGACCTGTACCCCAGCAGTGGGGGCATTAATAGGCTGATGATGATGATATTTGTTTTCATGCACACCACTCATTAAATAAAACAAGTTTCAGCCGTATAAATGCACTGATTTATTTATTTTGACGTTTTGTTTCCTTTTCGGACTGCGTCATCATAAATTTCTGAGACGCAGCCTGAAAAGGATGCATCAAGCATCCGTTGAAACTTTTTTTTATTTAAACTTTACTGCTTCATTTTTTACTTTTAAGGTAACGTTCGCTTTCGCTCGTATAGAAAGATGATCACTTGAAGGTCATGGTGGTTAAGTGGTAGTTAAACTGGGCAGATAAGTGGGAATCTGGAATCTCCTAGATGTAACTCAAAGGTCGCGTCGCATTACTACGCCTACTGGCGAGGCCTATCGCGGTCTCTGCCAAAAATTCTAAGCCTTAAAGATTCGACCAATTCGACAGATGACGACAGACCACCTCAGGACTCATTGGATGTGACTGTTTTCAAAACCTGTCAGCATGGCTTATGCTGATAGGCAGGATGAATCATGGGAAGAGCTTCCTCCGAGCTGGGTGATGTTAGCTCGGGGGCCGCGGCTTGACTGATGTTGGTCGGGCATTGTATATATGAACTGTTAGCCACCGAATTTCACTTGCGCGATGTAGGCTTCCATTCTATTGTGATCGCAGCGCAGGTAGCGCCATTTATTGAGGAGGCGAGTGAATATTTCCTCCATGTTGTTTATGTGGGGCTTATAGATGTCGCTGTATTATCTCTCGTTTGAGAGATTTGGTAATTCAATGTGCGTGTTGCTCAGTCCATCCACGCTTTATATCTATTAATGCCACTCTTATTGCATAAAAATGACAAGGGTGAGAAATTGGAGTATTACAATTTAGCCTTTGTTTGTTCCTCCGTAGAGTCGGAAGTGGTGTGGTGGTGGACACCCAACGGTGTAGGCATGCGTTGTCTAGAAATGCCATTCTTTTTGCATTAAATAAAACAGAGTGAGACGTTGGAATAGTTGGACCTATATAATGTTTACTATAAAATCTATTGTAACTGTATATTTATATTCTGAATGATGTAATGGGAGGTGCCTTCTGACGTATCTTTGAAGTAATTTTTGAAGTTGACGACGAATACAGGGGGAAAAAATCGCCTTTGCTGGTTTTTCTCAGTACAAGGTACTCTGGTCGTAGTTTTGCGAACCTATGGTGTAGCTTCTTGACCTTCACAAGTGCTTGTAATAGCCTAGACCAGTGTTTCCTAACCTTTCCAATACTGCTACCCCTGTAACCTGTTAGGGAAACAGATTTTACCCCGACTTTAAAATGTTATTATCAGTCCAAGAAATTCCAATTTGGCCGCTACATCTTCGTCTCTGCTACTGTCATCATCAGGAGAAAATCGCGCCCCGCTTCCCACACTCAGCACCCCGCGTGCTCATTAGCAAGAAGGAGCGCATGCTCTATTCAGTAGTATTATTTAGATTTGACCAAATAATTAGGTTCTTCGTTACCCCCGAAGTATGGCTGATTTACCCCCGGAGGGGTAATTACCCCCCAGGTTCGGAACCCACTGAATAGACTGAATGTGCGCGGACAGTCGGCAACGGTTGCCGCGACCACACCCGCACTCCGTGACCGGTGCAGGAGTATTGTCTGGTTTTTAGTGGCCCTGTTCAGGGCGTTAGGTAGGGCCCTGCTCATTTCACCCGGCCTAAGGGCTGGCTGAAATGAGCAGGGAGGAGTCCCACATACCTTCTTCTCGCTCCCCCGGTGGTTGAAGGATGCGTAAAGCATTTCCCAGACAAAAAAAAAGGGCCTAGACTGAATAAATCACTTTTCATTTAATTTCATTTCAATACAATTTAGCCTTCGTTCGTTCCTCCGCAGAGTCGGAAGTGGTGTGGTGGTGGACGCGCAGCGGCGTGGGCGTGCGGTGGTCTGGCGCGGGGCGCGTGCTGCGCTACTCGCAGAACCTGACGCGCTCCCTCGACGCGTGGCCCACCGTGCGGGTGCGCGGGCACACGCTGGAGGTAGGTACGGGCGCGGGGCGCGTGCTGCGCTACTCGCAGAACCTGACGCGCTCCCTCGACGCGTGGCCCACCGTGCGGGTGCGCGGGCACACGCTGGAGGTAGGTACGGGCGCGGGGCGCGTGCTGCGCTACTCGCAGAACCTGACGCGCTCCCTCGACGCGTGGCCCACCGTGCGGGTGCGCGGGCACACGCTGGAGGTAGGTACGGGCGCGGGGCGCGTGCTGCGCTACTCGCAGAACCTGACGCGCTCCCTCGACGCGTGGCCCACCGTGCGGGTGCGCGGGCACACGCTGGAGGTAGGTACGGGCGCGGGGCGCGTGCTGCGCTACTCGCAGAACCTGACGCGCTCCCTCGACGCGTGGCCCACCGTGCGGGTGCGCGGGCACACGCTGGAGGTAGGTACGGGCGCGGGGCGCGTGCTGCGCTACTCGCAGAACCTGACGCGCTCCCTCGACGCGTGGCCCACCGTGCGGGTGCGCGGGCACACGCTGGAGGTAGGTACGGGCGCGGGGCGCGTGCTGCGCTACTCGCAGAACCTGACGCGCTCCCTCGACGCGTGGCCCACCGTGCGGGTGCGCGGGCACACGCTGGAGGTAGGTACGGGCGCGGGGCGCGTGCTGCGCTACTCGCAGAACCTGACGCGCTCCCTCGACGCGTGGCCCACCGTGCGGGTGCGCGGGCACACGCTGGAGGTAGGTACGGGCGCGGGGCGCGTGCTGCGCTACTCGCAGAACCTGACGCGCTCCCTCGACGCGTGGCCCACCGTGCGGGTGCGCGGGCACACGCTGGAGGTAGGTACGGGCGCGGGGCGCGTGCTGCGCTACTCGCAGAACCTGACGCGCTCCCTCGACGCGTGGCCCACCGTGCGGGTGCGCGGGCACACGCTGGAGGTAGGTACGGGCGCGGGGCGCGTGCTGCGCTACTCGCAGAACCTGACGCGCTCCCTCGACGCGTGGCCCACCGTGCGGGTGCGCGGGCACACGCTGGAGGTAGGTACGGGCGCGGGGCGCGTGCTGCGCTACTCGCAGAACCTGACGCGCTCCCTCGACGCGTGGCCCACCGTGCGGGTGCGCGGGCACACGCTGGAGGTAGGTACGGGCGCGGGGCGCGTGCTGCGCTACTCGCAGAACCTGACGCGCTCCCTCGACGCGTGGCCCACCGTGCGGGTGCGCGGGCACACGCTGGAGGTAGGTACGGGCGCGGGGCGCGTGCTGCGCTACTCGCAGAACCTGACGCGCTCCCTCGACGCGTGGCCCACCGTGCGGGTGCGCGGGCACACGCTGGAGGTAGGTACGGGCGCGGGGCGCGTGCTGCGCTACTCGCAGAACCTGACGCGCTCCCTCGACGCGTGGCCCACCGTGCGGGTGCGCGGGCACACGCTGGAGGTAGGTACGGGCGCGGGGCGCGTGCTGCGCTACTCGCAGAACCTGACGCGCTCCCTCGACGCGTGGCCCACCGTGCGGGTGCGCGGGCACACGCTGGAGGTAGGTACGGGCGCGGGGCGCGTGCTGCGCTACTCGCAGAACCTGACGCGCTCCCTCGACGCGTGGCCCACCGTGCGGGTGCGCGGGCACACGCTGGAGGTAGGTACGGGCGCGGGGCGCGTGCTGCGCTACTCGCAGAACCTGACGCGCTCCCTCGACGCGTGGCCCACCGTGCGGGTGCGCGGGCACACGCTGGAGGTAGGTACGGGCGCGGGGCGCGTGCTGCGCTACTCGCAGAACCTGACGCGCTCCCTCGACGCGTGGCCCACCGTGCGGGTGCGCGGGCACACGCTGGAGGTAGGTACGGGCGCGGGGCGCGTGCTGCGCTACTCGCAGAACCTGACGCGCTCCCTCGACGCGTGGCCCACCGTGCGGGTGCGCGGGCACACGCTGGAGGTAGGTACGGGCGCGGGGCGCGTGCTGCGCTACTCGCAGAACCTGACGCGCTCCCTCGACGCGTGGCCCACCGTGCGGGTGCGCGGGCACACGCTGGAGGTAGGTACGGGCGCGGGGCGCGTGCTGCGCTACTCGCAGAACCTGACGCGCTCCCTCGACGCGTGGCCCACCGTGCGGGTGCGCGGGCACACGCTGGAGGTAGGTACGGGCGCGGGGCGCGTGCTGCGCTACTCGCAGAACCTGACGCGCTCCCTCGACGCGTGGCCCACCGTGCGGGTGCGCGGGCACACGCTGGAGGTAGGTACGGGCGCGGGGCGCGTGCTGCGCTACTCGCAGAACCTGACGCGCTCCCTCGACGCGTGGCCCACCGTGCGGGTGCGCGGGCACACGCTGGAGGTAGGTACGGGCGCGGGGCGCGTGCTGCGCTACTCGCAGAACCTGACGCGCTCCCTCGACGCGTGGCCCACCGTGCGGGGTGCGCGGGCACACGCTGGAGGTAGGTACGGGCGCGGGGCGCGTGCTGCGCTACTCGCAGAACCTGACGCGCTCCCTCGACGCGTGGCCCACCGTGCGGGTGCGCGGGCACACGCTGGAGGTAGGTACGGGCGCGGGGCGCGTGCTGCGCTACTCGCAGAACCTGACGCGCTCCCTCGACGCGTGGCCCACCGTGCGGGTGCGCGGGCACACGCTGGAGGTAGGTACGGGCGCGGGGCGCGTGCTGCGCTACTCGCAGAACCTGACGCGCTCCCTCGACGCGTGGCCCACCGTGCGGGTGCGCGGGCACACGCTGGAGGTAGGTACGGGCGCGGGGCGCGTGCTGCGCTACTCGCAGAACCTGACGCGCTCCCTCGACGCGTGGCCCACCGTGCGGGTGCGCGGGCACACGCTGGAGGTAGGTACGGGCGCGGGGCGCGTGCTGCGCTACTCGAGGTACAAAACAAACATACATACGACTTCAGAGTCTGAAAGAAAGAAAGAAAGAAAAATAAATTTATTTGAGACAACACACACACAACAAAACACACATATTTTTTTTTTGTCTCAAATCGGTCCCAACTCAGCATGTGCTGATGTTGCCATCAGCGCTGGTCTTCCGTTGGAACCGGTTTAGTGACGACACGAAACAATAACATTAACAAGTAATAAAATAAGCATAACAAAATAAAAACAAAACAACAACAATGTGAGTTCAGGGGGGCGCCACTATCGCCATGTCAAAATTGAAACGAGAAACGAGTTAGAACAAAAAAATACTGAAGATTTTTTTACTAGAAAAAGCGTGTGCATACCGAGACGCACGACAGAAGTGATAACTTAAACTACGAGTAATAAAAGCGGCGTTGCGGGTATGTAATGTAGAGTGACGGAGGAGAACCTACATCATAAAATTGTTAAACTAAACTAAATGAGCACAGGAGATTGGTCGGTAAAAAAGGGATTGGATGGTGTAAAGTAGATTCGAGTGTGAAAAGGGATTCGAGTATTGGGTCGTTTAAAAATGTTGAAAATTTACATGTTTCTTCCTTTTTTAGTTGACGGACTTGGACCCATCTCTGCCCACATACGTGATGGTGGCGACGCTGAGCGGCAAGAACGAGGTGTTCAACATCCCGGTGCGGCCTAAAGATACCTCCTCCTCGCTCTATGTCGGTGAGTCAGTTTGCTTCTTAATACTTCTCAAAGACAGGAGATTGGTAGGTGAAAAGGGTATTGGAGGGTTTAAAGGGGATTCAAGAGAGAAAAGGGAGATTATGGGATATAATAAGGGATAGGTGGGTGATAGTTGATATTGATGGGTGAGGGAGGAGGTGGGAGGTCACCCATCCGAATGACCGACCACTGCGATAGTCGCTTAACTTCAAGGATCGCAGCCGAACGCGCCATCCGCGCCATCAAAATTAAAACTTTAAATCATCTTTTTTATTTTGTCCCAGGTCTGGGAATCGGTGCAGGCGTTGTTATCGCATGCGCGTTGGCTGTGGTGGCAGTCTGTATATGGCGTAGAAGGAAAAGGACTGGTTCGCCGCATCGGTACGTATTCTATATCAACATACACCCATATTGAAGTCATTTATCAATTTGACGACTCTGTATATATAATAAAGGGAGACAAAAACAGCCCTTGCTGAGTTTCTTGCCGGTTTCTCAGTACAAAGTCTCCCGCCGTACATTTACAAACTGATGGCGTAGCTTTTCGACATTCACAAGTGCTTGTAACAGCCTAGACTAAATAAACGATACTTATAGAAATTTGAATAGGGTATTTGACAGTATTGAAAATAAAGTGCCAATTGTTGGCATCTGTGTTTAGAATGAATATTGGAAGGGGTTTTTACAATTTTTACAAAAAAATATTCATAATTTTACTAAAAACCCACGAAAAAGATAATAGTTTTCTTACCTATTGTCACGTGACCCAAAACGCTTGGCGGAGCCTAAAATGACGTCACACGCAAGTAAACTTCCGGTTAAAGTGACATTACATTGTATCGTTTGACGTTTTAATAACAGTCATGTGACGTCACAGACTAGTAAGACGCCATATTGTCCAGAGAAACGTTTTCGCGGCAACTTGAAAATGGAGTTTTTGATTTGGTTATTTTTTCTGAAATACACAACAGAATGATGAATATCCACTTTTTACGGACTCCATAAACATTGGTCAATAACGTAAGATCGTTTTCTAAAACTTGTCAAATACCCTATTTTTATATTATAATATATACTTGGCACCCGATTTCTTCCACCGAGCCTGTGATGAGATTTTTACCTGTTCTTTAAGATGATTACAAGGTCTTCCTGCCGTAGATTTGCGAACCGATGGCGTAGTTTTGAGTGCTTGTGACTTATTGTAAGATGCTGAGGACCTCCGTGAGGTGTATAGTATTGAAACTGGTTAGCAAGTTGTCGTCTACACTGAGATCTGGGCAAATGTTTGTATAATAAATACACAAGCATTTGTACCCATTTGTAGTTTTATTAAGATTCCCACCAAAGTCTAAATGTGGTATCGTATCTACACTTAATTAAAAAAAGGTATATGGTATAAGACAGTGTCAGCCTCTTCGGATTCTATGGTTCATAGAAACCAAATTAAATAGGTCATATGTCGTCGTCCTTGCTCACAGATTACGATCAGGGGGCCATTCGCCTACCGGAAATACTTTGGAAAACGCTTACGATTTCATTTTGTTATTTCTAGCCGCCTGAGGTTTTCAAATGCCTCGCGCTTTTTTTCTTTTCTTTTGCATTGGTAATAATAATATTAGCAAAAATGAGCGTGAGGTATTTGAAAACCGTCGGCGGTCAGAAATAACAAAATAAAATCGAAAGCGTTAGCGTTTTCCAAAGCATTTCCGTTAGGCGAATGGCCTCCTGGTCATTCTCCATCTAGGAAGTTTGCACATTTGATGAAGAAAGCTAATTCTCCCAATTGTGAAGAATGTAACAAAGTGGACGATGTCCAACACATTTTGATGGAAAGTGTGAAGAACAGAAGATAGAGAGAGCTATTCATACAACAATATCAACTTAACTTTGAAAATATAGGTTCGTTTGTGGAAATATTAGCACTACCAAACTCAGATGCAGCAAAGTCGATGTTTGATGTGGTTTTCGCTAGCAAGAATAGCTCGCCCTCTCCAATGTTTTAAATTAAATTAATTGTGTATGTTTTGGTTAGGGTACGATGAGGCTGGCATATTCGTAGAAAGAAAGCCTCTAAATAAATAAAAAAATTGTGCGTGTCAGCTCCGACGCACGACTGGAGTTTACTCCTTAAGTTCGATAGTCTAACCAGACGCAAAAAGAGTTTATTTAACTTTAAAAAAGATTGATACTGTATGAAAGGGTAAATTAACAAATTAATGAAAATAATATACATATATAAATATATATTTATTCATTACATATACATTTATTAAAACTAATCGACGAAATATTTTACATTAAACTTTTTACAATAGTCAATTTCAGATGTGCATAAATATATCATTAGGAATGTTGTTAATTATGTAATTATTATTATTATTATACTATTATCATTTTTTTAAATATTAATTAAATCAACATTGGTGCCAATTCTGGCGTGATTCTCTAAACTTAAAACTAAATTTGACATCAGTCTCTCCTTTTCATTCTGTATAGAGAATGACAAGGATATACTGCTGTCAAATTTAAGTTTAGGTTTAGAGAATCATGCTAGAATCGACACCATTGTCTGCATTATTAATTACAGTGACAAGTGGTTTATGGTAACTAAAATAAGACACATGGACGTTCGTAGATACGTGGTTCACGAATCTTGAAAATACCGCATCAATGGTTGTACCATACCTCGTTGTCCCCATTGCTCTATCAGAAACAATATCTAAATTCAGTTCAGATTTTAATTTTTTTATTAATGTCAAACCGTCATCTTTGTTTGTCAAAGTTGCGCGACATAGGATGCGCACCAAAAACGTAACGAGGTCATTCATCGATAGATTTTACTCCTCACATTTTTCTCATACCGGGCCCCTTATATATGCAAATCGATTCTTAAGGAGTAAACTCCAATAAAAAAAAACTTCACTTAATTAGACTCATTCACCATACTTTGTTTATTTATAATCTTATGATGATAATGTTTCATTCCAGTTCACGACGAAGAAACATTACATCAAATGAGGATGAGGACGAAGAGGCCGCAGAAATGAAGGTAAAGAAATATCATTAAACGTAAATTATTAAATTTGTACATACAGTCGAAACCGGATATAACGACATTGAAGGGATCATATTACTTCGGACGTTATGTCCGATGGTTGTTAGAAGCAATATACAGAACTCGTCATATTATTGTCATAATGTATGTATGTAGTATGGTTATAGATAATGAATATAAGCTTCAAATAAAATATCGAAAAAAGAAGTAATAAGTTTACTATGAAAAAAATTAAGTACCTACAGTATATTTTGTTTTGCTGGAACAAGCAAAACGCTTAGTCTTTATAACCGATGAATATCGATATGAACTTCATCAACATTCACTGGCTATAAGTCATTTTAAGCGGTATTTCGCTATATCCGGTGTTGTTATAGGCCAGTGATTCCCAAAGTGGTCTATATCGACCCCTAAGGGTCTATGACAACCTGCAAGGGGTCTACGTCAGCGAAAAAAAATCAATATCAGGTAAGTAGGGGGTCTACCCAACACGGAAAAACATGGCAAGGGGTCTACGACACAAAAAAGTTTGGGGAACTTTGTTATAGGCGGTTTGTTTTTTTTTTTTTTTTTTTTTTTTTTGTTTCCTCCCAGGCGGGGGAGAGGGTGAGAAATCCTCATGGATACCCTACAGCCGGCTGTAAGGTTATGTCAGACTCCTACTGACTAAAAAACACCTTTTATTCATGCTTATGGCCAGAAGGGCCTTACAAGCTTCATCTGAAGCGATCACCCCCCGAGAGGGGGATGATGCGGCGCTGCGTTAGTTTAAACTAGTGCATAGTTTAAAATAACGCAAAATGCGCTTAGAGGACAAGTGCACTCAGATGTGCACTTGAAACGGGAGGGGACTGAGAGGAATCGAACCTCTCTGTGTCGGGGGGGCGGGGGGGGACTCACCGCGGGTGTTGGATCCTCAGCGGCCAAGAGGGCCGCGAGATCGCACGTGAGTTTATTGTGTGTGGCTGTGAGTGCGTGTTTGGGCCTGCAGGGCCTGAATCGAGATGGAGTGTGTGGAGCGTATCCCGACGCCGATCTAATGAGTGTGTTAGAGTGCTCTTCTGCAGCTTTGAAGAACCGTTCCGAGCACTCTGTGAGGTGTGTTTGAATTGTGTCGAGTTGTAGGTCCCTGTGGAGGTCCGCGTTGCGGACGTACCACGGGGCCCCTGTGGCTATGCGGCAGAAGCGATTTTGAAGCACTTGAAGTTTGTTCAAAATCGCTTCGTCCGCGTGTGCGAACACTGGTGACGCGTAAGTGAGGACCGGGCGTATGCAAACTTTGTAAAGCGTTCGCTTGTTACGAAGTGACATTTTGCTGTATTTACCGAGCATCGGGTGGAGGCGGCTCATATAAAAGCGCGCGTTCGCGACTACGCGTGTGATGTGTGCACGGAAGGTGAGTTTTTTGTCTAGTGTGATCCCTAGGTATTTGACTGTGCGGTGCCACGGTATTGCTATGCCTTGCATTCGCAGAGACCGCGCACCGTGTTGTATGGTTTTGGTGCGGCGCTTGGGATCGAAGCAAATGGCCGAACTTTTGTCCGGATTTACGTCGATTCTCCAATCGCGGAACCAATTCCCAAGTGTTGTGATTGCCGGTTGGAGCTTGGCTATGATTTGATTGGTACTGGCTCCCCTAGAGTAGAGGGCCGTGTCGTCCGCGAAGAGAGCGAGCTCGACACCCTTGGTCTGAGGGATGTCATTGGTGTACGCTGTGTATAGCAGGGGGGAGAGAGCGGACCCCTGCGGTACACCGGCTCGTAGTGGGCGGGGCGTTGATAGTGAACCTTCGTATCTATAGCGGAAGGTGCGGTTTGTTAGAAAAGAGGCTACTAACCTAACTAGGCGGTCAGGTAATTTTAATTGATATAATTTAAAGATTAATCCGTCGTGCCAAACCTTGTCGAAGGCTTTGGCGACGTCGAAGAAGACTGCAATAGTTTTATATTTATTAAGTTGGAAGCCGCTTAGGGCGTGCTCCACTATGCGATGGATCTGTTGGGGGCAGGAGTGTTTGGCTCTGAAGCCGAATTGGTGGTCAATGATAATTGGATCGGATGGTGATAGGAGGTGCTCTCTTAGTCTGGTCAGTATGGTTTTTTCGAAAAGTTTCGCCATTGCCTTGAGGAGGCTAATAGGGCGATGGCTACTGGGGAGGTGCGCGGGTTTTCCGGGTTTGGGGATGCCTATCACTATTGCTTCTTTCCAGGCGGCTGGGAAGTAGCACAGATCAAAACATGCGTTAAAGAGAATTGCAAGCAAGGTTAGCATTTGGATGGGAAAGTGCTTGAGCGCCTTGTTAGAGATGCCGTCGGCGCCCGGGGCCTTGCGTTGCTTAAAGTTTCTAATGGTCTGTCTGAGTTCGTCTGTCGTGACGGGGTCTAGGGGGTTGTCAGTGAGTGGAAGGGCGGCCCGCCGGCGGACCTCCTCCTCCACTCCGCGAATATGTTGCGGGTTAGTTTCCTGCGTACTAGGCGTGCATTGCGCCGCTATGCTGTCTGCAAAACACTCAGATTTTTCGTCGTCTTCGAAGGCGACGGTGCCGTCGGGGCGAGTGAGCGGGGGGGTGTGGGTGGTAACGTCGCTACGGAGCGCTTTCGCGATTCTATAGTACGCAAGATGGGATGGGGTAATGTCCGCCATGAGTTCCTCCCAACGGGAGTGTCTCAGAGCGGCTAACTGGGACCTAACTTGTCGCTGAAGGCGATTAGCTGTAGCCCTATACTCGGGGGTGGGGTATAATTTGGCTCTCCGGAGAGCGGCGTTTTTGGCTTGGATAAGGTTCCGGATGGCCAGCGGGAGCTTGGGCTTTGGCAGCTCAACCTCCCGCGAGTTTTCCTTCGCCTTCTCGGTCACCAGAGAAGTTAGAGAGTCTATTGTTTCGTCGATCTTGTCGGTGCTGTCGAGACTGTCCGGTGAGTTAGGGAACGGGGAATCGGGGGAGTCTAAAGTGGTCTCGAGAGCGGAGCGGTATCCGTCCCAGTTGGTGAATAGCCTCTTAGGGGGCGCGGGGGCGTCTAGTGGGTCTTGGGGACCTAGAACTAGAGACACCGGTCTGTGATCTGACCCCAGGTCGTCGAGCGTTTCGATCGAGCTGAGGCGAAGCGACACGTTTTTAAGGATCGCGAAGTCCAGGACGTCGGGTCGGTTTTGTACATTGTCTGGGTAGTGGGTGGGCGCGTAGGGACAGATGACATCATAGCCAAGCTCCTCGGTTATGTGTAGTAATCTGCGGCCAGAGGTGGTGGTGGTCTCGCATGTCCAGTCGGTGTGTTTGGAGTTAAAGTCACCGAACATTATGACTGATGTACCTAGTGAAGTGAGTGTTTCGAAGTCTGCGCGGTGAGGGTGTGTACCTGATCTAATGTAGACTGAGGCGATGATTAAGGACTGGTGTCCCGTCATCGCCAGCCTACAGATGGTGGCTTCCATGTTTGTGAGCGCGGGAGTGGGTATAGGTGTGCAGTGTAGGTTGCGTCTATAGTAAATTGCGGTGCCGCCGCGCGCGTTGGCACCGTCGTTCCGGATTAATTTATACTTAGGGATCGACAGCCCCTTCATTTGAGTTGGTTTGAGCCAAGTCTCCTGAAGGAGCAGAAAGTCGGGTTCCCTATCTTGCAAAAATAATTTAATTTCGTTGAGGTTGGATTTTAAGCTGCGCGTATTAAATGACACAAGCGAAGCGCCTTTCGGCTTGGTACGCCCGGGGTTTAGTTGAGTGATTGTTATGTTAGTGTTTTGCGCGGTCATAATTTAAACAACAGTGGTGTTTGTTTGAGTTATCACCGCGTGTTTTGTGTATAATGTTTTTGTTTGTGTTCGGAGTCTGGTTATTTTCCAGTGTTATAATGAAAAAATTAATCGAACGCGGCAACGAGTTCGGGGTGTTCGGCTATAGCTATAGCCTTTTCAAGGGGTGTTTTAGCTAGCCGGAGCTTCGCGGCGAGAGTGTGGATCTCGGCGATATTCACCCTCTTGAGCGAGGAGCGAATAAGCGCCATGTCCTCGGCCAGAGAAACGTCTTGGGCTGGCTTAGCTTGTGTTGTTGGTGTGGTGTGTTGTGGTGGGTGTGGTTTTGGGCGGGCCCTGGCTGGTCCCCAGGCTGTCGGGGGCGCCGGGCTGCGAGGGGCGGCCGCCTTGGGTAGCCCCGGGAAGTTTGTGGTGGTGTTGTTCGGTGGTGGTGGGTGTGTTTTTGTCGCCGTGGTTGGCTTTGTGTGTGTGTGAGTGTGAGTGTTGGGCCTGGGGCGTGGGGCCCGCGAGCAACCCCTGTAATTGGCCTGGGGCGTGGGGCCCGCGGGCAACCCCTGTAATTGGCCGGGTGGCCTTCTTGGCCACAGAGCACGCATGCGGGTGCCCCGGGTGCGTCACGAGTGCGGGAGCACTCCTTGGTGAAGTGGGGTACGAGGCACTTGACGCACCTCGGGGCCGCCGAGCAGTTGGCTGCTGCGTGGCCATATAATTGGCACCTGTGGCATTGCCCAGGGGTGCCTCGCCGGTGTGGGGCCTCGACTTTGATATTGTCGAGGCTACAAACGGTTATGGGACCTTTGAAAATATCCCTAGCTGCCGGGACCGAGGTCAAAATGACAAGGGCCAACGGGTATTGTTTCCCAGTCCGGCTGTGCATTTTGTGCACTGCCTCGGCTGGGAAGCCTTGAGCGATTAGGTCGCTCAGAATGAGCTCGTTGGAGAGCTCGAAGGGGACTCCTCTGAGTACCGCGCGGACTTTGCGCTCCTCGGGGAGGGCGTATGTGTGGTAAGGGATTGTGTGTGTGGTTAGAAGCCTTGTGAGGCTCCTAAATGTGTCGATTGTGGGTGTGGTGATTTTAATGGCGTGACCAGTGTTCGACGCCTGTGTGTAATGTATGTTCTGAGCTTTGCAAAGGTCCGCGACCTTTGCCCATTGCGCCTTATCGCGCAGAAAGACGGGCGGCGGCGGCTTTGCCTTGATAGGTGCAGCGGTGCACCTAGTGTGTGGTTTTGTGGTGTGTGTAGTGAGGGGTTGTGTGGTCGGTTGGGTGACCGTGAGAGGGGTGAGAGGGCTGAGAGGGACAGAGAGAGAAGGCGCCGTTGGAGACGCGGTGTCTGCGCGGCGCTTGGAGCGCCGCTTCTTCTTGCTCACCACAGTGGTGAACACAGACTCGTCGGACGCCGACACAATGGTCGAGTCGGAGTCACACGTCGAGACCGGGCTCGAGGCGGGGCGCTTGCCCGCGCTCGAGGGCCCGGGGAGGCAGGGGGTGTCGGGGCGGGGGGGTTCGGGGGAGGGGCTGGCGGGAGAGTCGCGCATGGGGCGCGCTCTCGCGACGAGCTCCCTGATGGCGGCCTCATCCAGGGTGAGGCCGAGGGCGGAGAAGAGGGACAGTACCTGTTGTGTGATGTCCATGTTAAGTTTAGTGTAGTGTGTCGAGTTGGTGTGTATGTGATGTGTGTATGTGAGTGCCCTGACTGTGGCGTGAAGCCGCAGGTCCTAACACCCTATACGACAGCGGTGGACTCCCCTGCCCGCGGCAGGGGGTCGGTTGAGGCTGAAAGAGATGTGTTCCGATATTCCTAGTGAATATGGGAACAACCGTCACCCTTGGGAAGGCCCAAGTGCAAATGGGATCGGGTCTTCCGGTTTCCGAGCTCAGGAGAGCTCGAGACGTACCGGGGCTACGCCGACCAGTTTCGTTAACACCGCTAGGTATCCACTGGTCCAATCTTGTGTCTCACGAATGAGCGCAGGCGCGTCGAGTCTACTCGAAGCAGGCAGCTGTGCGGCGGGGCGCACGGAGCAAGGAGGCGGCGGTGCGACGGGGCGCACGGTCCGCGGTCGGAGCGAGAATGTGCTCGTCCTCGAATGGATGATGATGTCGTCGGCTGTCGTTGGCGGTTTGTTTCCTTAAGGATTTATATAGGGTTTCGGTCGGGACCTTGCCAAATGGTCGTAATAACCGGACACGTAGTTATATTAGGTTTTGACTGTACTTCCCTGGTGAATAACTGTTGTACAGACATCTAAAACTAATGCTAAACCAACTCTAAGTAATTCTTTGATGTACATTAATGTTTGATGTCTTTGAACGAATGAATGACTGAATGATCACTTTATTGTACACCATGAAATTTTAAATTACAATTAATTAAGACTATTACATAATAGTATAAACGGCGGCCTTATCGCTAAGAAGCAATTTCTTCCAGGCAACCGTAAAAAACCGCGATGTCTTTGGACGGAAATCCACTGCGCCGATTAAAATCTTCATCATGTCAGCCGTACGACGCCCACTGCTGAGCACAGGCCTCCCCCACAGATCTCCACAAAGATTTATTAAAAATCTTACAGCCCCTAAAGTTACCTCTGGTATCGCAAGCATCTTACGCAATACCAGGGCCGAATTTAGGATTGTGGAGGCCCCGGGCCACTTAGGATTTGTATTATTGTTAACCCATCGAAATGTTGTTGTTTCTTAAGCTGTTGTGGAGGCCCCTGGGCCACAGCCCCACCTGCCCTGCCTTAAATTCGGCCCTGACCTCCGAGGTTGCGGGCAAGCACCACCCCACTCAGCCATTAAGCGATTGGGGTACTCCCTCAAGATGGGTAGTGAATTGGAAGTGCTTATCAGGGCCACTTGAGATTTTGATATTTCACTGATTGCCTGATTGGAGTGAACAAATATAGATCAATGATTTCTGTTATTTAAGATTAATTTAATCAAATAGTCATGTGTGTTAGATGTACAGAGTACTGTAGGCTGTAGGTAAAGGTAAAAGAGCAAAGAAAAAATATCAAAGGAAAAGATGTTTACTAGTGTTTACTAGTTGGAATTTGAAAGATATTTTTTTTCCCAAGTCTCTATTGTGGGGGCCCCCCGTTTGTGGAGGCCCCGGGGCTTTCGCCCCGGTTGCCCTCCCCTAAATCCGGCAGTGCGCAATACAGTACCCCTAGCACGAACCATTATCGAATTCGAATAGTTTGCAAACCGAAATGTCAATGTCAACTTTTGTATGAAAACTTGAACAGCAGCGGCACAAAGTACGTAACGAGAACTAAAAATCATTACACATTTGACAATGACATTTCGGACTCGCAAACGATACGAATTCGATATTGGTTCGTGCTAGGGGTACTGATAACTGCTTACCATCAAACAATCCGTGTAACTGCTTTCCATATTTTCCACCCAAATAATATCTCTCAACAGCAAAAAGCAGTCTTAAGAGTTAAATCATAAAGTTGTTTTCGGCAGACAGTGGGCGGCCGGCTGGCTAACGGCGGCGGCTCCAAGGATGCCGGCGAGCCGCTGCTCAACGGACACGTGCATATTACTGAGAATCCGGTGAGTCTACATCAGTGTTTCCTAACCTTTCCAATACTGCTACCCCTGTAACCTATTAGGGAAACAGATTTTACCCCGACTTTAAAATGTTATCATCAGGCCAAAAAATTCCAATTTGGCCGCTACATCTTCGTCTCTAATAATGTCATCATTAGGAGAGAATCTCGCCCCGCTTCCCACGCTCAGCACCCCGCGGGCTCACTAGCAAGTAGGAGCGCATGCTCTATTTAGTAGTATTATTTAGATTTGACCAAATAATTAGGTTCTTTGTTACCCTCGAATTATGGCTGATTTACCCCCGGAAGGGTAATTACCCCCATGTTAGGAACCCAGGGTCTACATGAATATTGCACTTTATTCTTAGCTATTCAAAGGGGAAACGCTGCCAGTATCTTCGGAACCTTGCCTAAAGGGACTCCTTTTAATAATGCATTTTAGTTATTATAAGGTTAAAGAAAATATAACTAGAAAAAAATCCACGCGGACCAGGCAGCAGACGGGACTCGAACCCGCACCCTTCGCCTGGTCCGCGTGGATTTTTTTCTAGTTATATTTTCTTTAGATTTAAACATGAAGCAGTTACAGTTTGTCTATAAAGTCGTGACATTAAATGATGGCGCCACTAGTATGCATGTAGCAACCCTATACAGTCTGACCAAAATGATTTTGATACTAGCAGTTCATTCAAGTAAAATAGACAATTAATAAGACACACTATACAGTCGTATTTTGTTTCTGTTTTATATATAGTAGGTACCTATGCTTATAAAAAGTTTAGCCAAGCATATTTAATTGAATCATAATAAAATTATTATAGATAAAATAGTACTTTATAGTGTAAAAGTGTGTAATGTTGGTGATTACCGCTGAGGTGCCATTAAGACCAGAGCCGTTAGGTAATCAATAATACACACAAGTATCATCATATGACGTTTTTTAACATACTTGTTAAGAAAATAATACTACAAATCATTTTAAAGTATATAAAAAGTTTATTTAGAGAAACAATTTGTAAATGTGCAGTTAGTAAAATTAGTGATAGGTATCTTCACTAAAAGCATCTGGCCATGGTTCTTTATGTGACCATTTCTTTCTTTGGTTGGCCTTGCCTGTTTTCCCAGGAGTTTCAAACTTTCCATCATTCTTAAAACCTTCGTTGACTATCCGACTCTCTGATTTTCCTGAAAAAAAGTAAAAAAATATGTAACGGAATAGAAACAATAACTTATTGACATGAAGCAATTAATTCAAAATTGGTAGAAAACCTGACCGAGTTGAACCATAATAACGTATCAAAAGAAATGGTCGTACTACAATATAACCTATTTACAATGTCAATCTAACCTAAAAATGTGCAATGTAAACAATGCCTTTTTTGATCTCAAAATCGTAAATTGAATAAATTTGTAACTTCAGGCAGATTACAAACAAATAGTTACACGATTACATACCCGTCATAGATGCTGTTCGCCCATAAACATCATCCAAATCCCACAAAATTCGTCCAGCTTGGTAGTCTTCGAAACATCGCTGGAAAACTTTAAAAATCACTTCTCGCGAGCAACTACGATTTCCTTAACTCATTTTTATACCTTTCTGCGTAGTTTCGTCTTAATTTCATCATCATCATCATCATCAGCCTATTAATGTCCCCACTGCTGGGGCACAGGCCTTCCCTATGGATGGAATAGGGAGATCGGGCCATGACCCACCACGCGGGCCCAATGCGGATTGGTGGGTGCTAACGACTGCAAATGCAGCCGGGACCAACGGCTTAACGTACCTTCCGAAGCACGGAGGAGCTCGAGATAGTAAATTTTTGGTCACCCATCCAATGACCGACCACTGCGAAAGTTGCTTAACTTCAACGATCGCAGCCTAACGCGCCAGCCACCTGCGCCATCGAGCTCCTCCGTCTTAATTTATTACAGTTTAATCCAAACAATAAAAAATACAAAAGGAAAACTGTTCCACAACTGAAACTCGATGACAGCTGATGTACATAAGTTTGGTGTTGCCAGACACTTGAATAATGTTAGTTCCTCAAACATTCATGTCACGACTTTAAAGACAAACTGTACATGCTTAAAAAAATAAAATTATAACTATATTTGCTATTTCTTCTTTCAAATGTTTAATGCTTGTAAAAGTATTCATTTGACATTGTGGGTTACCTTTAATGCGAAGAGATGGCGCTGCCTTGCAGCTTAAGAATGGCTAGAGAAATTTCGACGCGGCCGTCAGGGCCGCGGTAGCATAATTGGTCAGTGCATTCGCCCGGATTGCGCAGGGTGCGGGTTCGAGTCCCGTCTGCTGCCTGGTTTATGTCGCTTCAGCGTTGTGAATTTCATATTTAAACTATACTGGTGTTTTTGCTAAATGTTATTCAGGAAATATAAGATTTTTTTTTATTGACCTTAATCGGAATCGAATTTGGGACCTGAGAAGATATAGAAGCAGCATTACTTGTTTCCTGAACTATAATATTGTCTGAAAATAAGGTGACATTATTGGAACGAAGTTCCTTACGGCAGGCTTGGAGGGGATAGGGATTTTGCTGCGCGACCGAACTGAAAAAAATGTGATAGTAAAACCGTAAGGAAAAATCCGTGGAAAAAAGTGCGTGGAATAAAACCGTTAAATGAGATAGTCGCATACACAAGCGAGTTTGCAATTTGTGTCGATTCTACATTAGCCGAAGGAACTTCGTTCCTACCTGGTGTCCCACGACACCACATCATTTCTTTTTATATTAATTAGAATTTGCAGTCATCCTTCTTAAAAAATATATTTATTATTATTAAAACAGAATATCTAACAAGAACTGTATTCTTTACAAGCAATCCAAAACACCCAACGGTAAGATGAAGAAAGGCGTCATCCCTTTCGACCTATCCCGGTACGAGGATCCAGACACCACCCTGGAAACAGTTCTGGACGACAGATCCGTCTCCTACGACCTCCTGGACACATCCCGGCGCCCCGAATCCGAGGACCAACTGCCCGGGAACAACTCATTCCCCAAACTCCCAGACGACAATATGAACTCTGAGCTCAACCGAAGCGCGTTCCATTTAGACAACAGCAAAATTCAACCCACGCTTCAACCCAACGGTTGAACACCAAACATTATGAATTGTAGAACTACAATAGGGGTAGGCGACCCCCATCGCCTAAGCGGGATGCTAGAGATTTGTACAGAACTCACGAGGCTCCGAGCCGACGAGGGTAGCTTGGCGTGTTTCGTTCCTAATAGACTTTTATTTTAATACACTTAAGGCTGATATTTCATTGTTTAATTCAACATACGGGTTTATTTAAGGTGGAGCTGGGCCGAAACATACCTACCTACTAGTTTTTTCCTCTATTTCCTGCGCACGTCAAGTTATTCTTGTTCGCTACGCACTTGCAATAGTTTATAGTGAACCATTTTCGTGTTGTTACTCTGTATAATGTAAATATAAAAATTCGCGATGCCCGTTTAGGTATATATAGGTTGTATATAGGAGTTTCGCGGCCTCTGGTTATGTGCCGGGACAATAATTAGCGGGCGGCGTGTTAAAACTCAAACTTTATACGGTACGTCGAAAACGGGATTGTATTGTATATATTTTATACTATACATATACATGTTGTTGTATACAGTGCCTCCTTTAAAAAAAAACACCCTGTGAATGAGAGTTACAAATAGATACACGATTAGTGTTACATGAACGTACAAAATGTAGACCAAAAGAGATCCAAACATACGTTTATGATTACCTAAATATCACATATTAAATAACACGAAATATATATACATGTTGAGGGAAAAAAGAACATTTTATACACTGATTATTTATATTTTTAAACTTTTTATTTAATTACTTCGCTGAGTTTTGAAGCCTCAGATGCTATTATTGGTTACCTTCACAATTTACATTCCAGCCTTTTTTGTTTATTTAATATAATGAATGCATCACAATTATTTAAATTATATCTTTATATTTATGTTAGTTTTTGGAAACTGATCTATTGAAAGATTGTATAATATTTTTAGTTCAGATTTTTTACAAAGATGTCGATTTTAGTGATCACCCACCACCCTTTCAAAAAATAAGTTGCAATATTTATTTGCAAAGCTAATTCGGACAATTATCTAAAATTTATAATGTCACTCTTTTATTCATAATGTGAAATTTTAACCCGTTTTTTTTTGATTTAAACTCCATTTTTGAATATTTACAATAGATTTTTCAACGCACATTTTTTTTTCATATACATAGGTATATTAATGTTATAGCTTCCTTTTTAGCGGTTATTTTTTACACTTCGAAACATTACACACATCTTTAGATACTTAAAACCTAAGAGAAAAGTAGATAGTAAATGTAAGTGTAAAAATAATTAAAATATACAAAAAAAAAAAATAAGAATAAATAATTTATTACAACGAACTACTGGTATTGTGTAAGGAAACAAAAAAAAATATATAAATATTATATATACATAATGAAGTTTATGAAATGAAAACGTGTTATCGTTATTGAAGAGTAATAACTGGGCGTTATTTAAAATAATATTAAAACATTTCTTTGGTATATTTTCATTTCCATCGGCTCGTCTTCAATATTTGTAATGTCCGTTCGGTTACTTTAATTAATTGTAATATCGAGTTAGTTGTTCGTTATTCCATATCACAATTTATATCTACCTCATAACTATACTTTGTAAGATTCTTTTTAGATGTTAAAATTTGAATGTTGAAGCAATTAAGTTTTTTTCTATAATTTTTTACCCATCGACATACGGTTCTAGGTATTGTCAGCTACGACGGCACTTACTGGTTAGTTAGTAGTCTTATTTTTTTATTTATTTAATATTAGAGCCTTAAGCTATTATAACTATAACTTCCAGCATTTCCAGATCGGTGTTAATTTTTTTTTTGTAGTATCAATAACGGAGTAGTCACTTGAAAGCGAATAATTGTCTTAATAGAGCATTTCAATGCATTAATAAATCAAATGTTTTTATGAATATCAATATTAAAATATATTATTTCAACAGAAAATAATTTGGATCTTATATATGTATATAAAAAACAATCACCTCTCTAATGAAATTGTCGTTTTAAATAATTTTATTATTATATTTTTAATATTGGCGCTGTCTTGCAACCGCTGAAATACTAGATGTAATTCGAGATCTCGGCAGCATAGTTGGCCAGTGCTACTGGATAGTGGAGGCATCATCCAAATTCAAATCTCTTCTGATGCCTGGACCGTTTGGTTATTTTTCTACAAAATTGTTCTTTGGATTTATTATTTTATAATATTTATACGAAATAAAAATAAATGTTATCAATAATAATCTACCCATTGATACTTATTTATAAAACTGTTTATAATTATTTTACATTCTATTTTCATTTTATCATTTTGTGCTGGTAGTTAAACTATAATTAAAACAGTACAAAATAAAATACTTTTTTTCAATTTATATTGATTTGAGTTGTTTTTTTATCATTTAATAGATTGGCATACTATATCAAAGGAAAAAAATATATTTGGCAGTTTTGATTTCAAAAATCTCAGTTTTCTTTTGTGTGAACTGAATGCCTAGCGGCAATTTCATAGGAGAGTAAGACCATAATATTTTAAATTTAATAAAAACCTAATCCGCCTAACTGTATATTAATACTACAAAAAACACGTGTTAACACTTTAAACACATTTCGCTAACAAAATAAGGATGTTTATTAGAGAAAATCTAAAAATAATCAACAGCAATTTCTAAGCATCCTTAACAATTAAAATTTCATTAAATATAAATATTGCACCTAGGTACAATTTATTATAATTAAGTTTAATGAATGGCGTAATATTTTAGGGATAGTCGAAGAATGTCTTACTACACCGTACAAATTCACCATGAAATTTGACAATGAACGCATACAAACAAATGGATACCTAACATTTTTTAAATTTCTCAAAGCAAGTATTGTAAATATTATTAATAAATAACATAACAAAAAAAAAGAAATCAGTTTAAATTTTAAATTGGATAAGTGAGTAAAGAATTAAATGAAGTAAAAGAAAACGCCGACTATGTACCTGAAACTTCAATTACACTAAGCAAGTTAGACTTAGGTGTGTAGATTTAGAACTTAAAAAAAATCTACTATAGGTTTTTTCACAGGGTCTCCAGTTTTTGATTCTTAAATCAGTGTTTTCACAGATGATTATTAACAAATGTTCACTGTCATGTTTCTGTTCGATTTTAAAGAGTTGTGCGGCGTGTGAGAATTTTGCTGTTGAAATTATTGCATTGGACTTTTAACAGGTTGATTATATTATCCAGATTTATAAGGACTAACTTAAGCCAAATATGAAATATACTATGATTTCTCGTTTTAGTACCTTAGAATGTTATGTGAAATATGCATCCGTTTCATTGATGAATGCGCTGCAAATGTCCTCGTATAATATTCCTTGCGAATGAATGGAAAATAATTATATTACCATTGTGTTTAGCGTCAACATTGAAATGGGTGCATGCGATGTTAAGAAATCAAATGTTCAAATACTGTAGTTTGTTAGAATTGTACCGTAAGTAATAATATTTGACATTATATAGATGCATTATATACAATTTTTATAATACGAACCCATTAATTTAAATGCAAAGTTCACTCGAGGTTGTGTTTATGTTGATAATTTTGATACAGTTTTGCTTATAAATATTGAACAAAATACGTTTAGATGACATCAAAATTCACGATTTCCATATGACTCTTGTTTACTTGTGTTGTACTACGGTACCCTTAGCACAAACCAATATCGAATTCGTAACGTTTTCGAGTACGAAATGTCATTGTCAAATGTGTACTGACTTTTAGTTCTCGTTACGTACGAGAACTAAAAGTCAGTACACATTTGACAATGCCATTTTGGACTCGCAAACTATTCGAATTCGGTATTGGTTCGTGCTAGGGGTACTGTACAGTTTCTTAACTGCACTTTGAAATTTCGACAATCATCTTTTTTCAAAATTTTGAAGAAACTCATATAACCTACTAGTAATAAAAAAAAATGTTTATTATTTTCTTTTTTATCAATTTTACATTGGCTTTTCCGTCCTTGGAGTGAAAAATTTAAATTAAAAATGTATCAAAATGAAAGCCTGAAATCGTGCCTCATCTATTATTTGATATTACATTGCGCAATATAAAATTCCTCTATATAAGAAAGGAAACACGCAAAATCCTTTTCGATTTACGTGATTTTTTGAAATACAATTAAACGAAAGGCGTTTAAATTACTATTATTGTAACTATATTTACTAATTTCTCCAATCGACTTCGTATGCGGGTAAATATAATTTTGCTTTAAATCTACCGACATTCTTTTAAAACACCAGCTTGGGTTAGCTTGAAAACAATATGTCATCACAAATAATAAGACAAAATCTTATGACAATAGCATAATTTTATAACTACACATTCCATATTGGCTGCAATAGTGTTTTTTCTCATACAAATCAGTTTTTTTTTTGTAAATATAATTGTTAATTTATTTTGTTTTATTCTAAGCTTTGTACAACCGTAATTAAAACCAATAGAATAGAGATTTATTTGTATGTAGTTTTAACGCCTGTTATAGTTAGCATTACAATTATTAATTAACCGATGTTTTTTGTTGTTTGAAAACAGTATTTTATGGGATGCAGTTTTGTGCATTTCTACTATTTACAACCTAATAACCAGGTCATATTCAAACGTTTGTTTAAAATAAACTTCAATTTGATGTAACGTTAACAGGGATGATGACTAATTTTTTTTTCTTCGTTTATCAGGTAGATTATCAAAAAGTATTGGACACGTATTTTTTCTTTTTTCACATAATATAAACATTGCAGAGACATATTGATTTGAAAAGTCGCATAACGTCACGTTTGAGTACACTTATAAGTGAAAATTCACTCAAAAGTGACGTAACGAGCCCCTACTCCCAAACTTTGACGCGCTATAACTTTGTCATTTTTTGGTTGATTGCCCAAAGAAAAAATACGTGTCCATTATTTTTTGATCATCTAACTGACGGACTAAATAGAATTTCATTTACTGTACCCCGTCATCATCCCTATTCTGAGTATATTAAATTATTGCTTTTATAAATATTAAAAATTAAAATTGCTATTTGAATGCATTTGTTATATAAATTAGAGACTTTATAGCTATTAACGGGATTTTTACCATGAACCTTGTTTTTTATGAGTCTCCGTTATTTCGACACTGTTGCAAGCGCCATGATCACGGAGTAACTTTATTTAATATGGCGCTTGCAACAGTTCCGAAATATCGGAGACTCATAAAAAACAAGGTACATGGTAACAATCCCGTTAATAGCTATAATGTTAGTGACCATGAAAGTTTAAAACAATATAAATTAGAGACGTTAGATACACAAAACTGCTCCCTTTGCACATTTTATAGTTAAACAATTTTTAATGAAATAAATCAACAAAAGAGCAATACGATTTTTCAATTATTTATTAATTTAATTGAACAAACCTTCTAATGTGGTTGTAGGGTTGCCAAACCGAGTTTATTGAAAGTTTCAGTAATGATAAAAAAAACCTGTAAGTTATTTGCAAACGCAAAATTATAAACTACAATAATTTAAATAAATACATCATTGATTTGTATAACTACCTAGTTTATATGGAAATGTACACGATGATAAAATCATTTTGTTTACAAATATTCTGGAATATTATACATATTTCATAATGAGAATCGGCAACCGTATCTGCATACCTATATTATTAATATGTATGAATAGCTGCAATGTATAGAAAGATTCACCAGCACAATATGTAGGTAAAATTTAATGAGTGATTTTAACCATGGAATTGAACTGAAGATTAAATAGATGAATTTTAAATTAAATCTTGCGTTATGTTCGGCCAATGCTTCGATGGATACATAAATTACGTCAATTTTGGTTGGTAATCGCGTTAACTTTGTGACTTAATATTGGACAAATAAATCAAAATTGAATAACCAAAAAGCAAACATTAAAATCAAAAAATATAATACTAGTTTTTCACGGGTTAATGCACGAAACTTTATTTATTTATTGACGTTTCGCAGCCTTTACAGGCTGCATCGTCGGAATCAATTTTTTTTTAAATTTTGTCTAAACGTCAATATATAAATAAAGTTTCGTGCATTAACCCGTGAAAAATTAGTTTTATTTATTCAAAAAATATGTTTACTATCGTGAACAAAGATTTATTATATTTGCACGTGTCCCTTTTTTAAGTCTAAACACAAAAGCGTTCAGTTTTACGGTTAAAATCATAATTTACCTCGTCCTCGACGATTAATAGAACCTTAAGAAAAGTTTACTAGAAAAAAATCCACGCGGACCAGGCAGCGGACGGGACCCGAACCCGCATCCTTCGCTATCCGGGCGAATGCACTGACCATTATGCTACCACCCGTCCGCACCGTCCGTCCCGTCCGCTGCCTGGTCCGCGTGGATTTTTTTTCTAGTAAACTTTTCTTAAGATTTAAACATCTAGCAGTTAAATGCTTAAAAAATAAATAAAATCATAATAGAACCTTGTTTCAAAACTCTGTGTGATGGTAATTAAGTATGTACTTAGATAGAGGCGTCCAAACTTTGTAGAGGGTGTGATTTCTACCTGAACGACAATGTTTTGTTTGATCACTTTTGTTTTATATTATTTTCTTTTGTCTCACTGCTTCCATGAATACTTGACCAGATTTGATGTTGTACTTTGTACCGGCTTTGACGTCAGGTGCTATTTTTTTGTAACTATCGTCACTACAGCAGACATATACTACAACATGTTTAGACATGAAATTTCTAAAAAAAAGCTGGACTTTTTTTGTTTTTTTTTTTTTTTTTTTTTTTATTCTTTATTAAGCCATACCCATAAAGGTTAAGCCGGCATACTTTTTTTGTTAATTAATAAAAATTTAGAAGTAAATATTTACCAATTTTTGTTCCTTGCTGTATTGTAACGACTGATTCAATAGTAATCTTTAGTAATTCACGATTTTGTTAACAATCTATGTAGATTAATTATGATTTTTTGCGATGTTTACCCAATTCAATGAAATCGACATACTTTCTTTGAAAATCGGCACAAAGTATCGACATCTTTTTAGTTAAGATTGTTGTAATAAAATTAATGTAAAAAAAACTATTAAAGACCAGTGCGGTGGCTCAACTAAGCAAGTAAGGTACATACATACACATTAGCCACAAAACTCTGCAGAAAATTAATGATAAACAATATTTGTATTTTATTAAAATTTACTTCATGAAATGTTTTCTCATGCGGGTAATCAAGGTCCTATAAAACACAATGAAGACCCTTTCTTTCGTTAATCATCATCCACATTAAAATGACAAAATGCTGAAACGTTTGGAAAAGCATGTCAATGGCGAAAATTCACAATTGGAAATAAAGACAATTTATCTTTACGTACTTCAATATAATGAAGTTTGAAATAAAGTTCTTTTTACATCGTTTTATAATAAATAATTTAAATGGGTTGAATTTTGCACTTCGTTTTCATTTTATATTATATAAAAAATAGGGAAAATATAGGACCTTGTCATATAATATACATTACATGCGATGGTTAGCAGGTTAAAAATAAATATTTCAATTTATTATATCCATTTTCAGATAAGTCTTTGAAAATACATCCTATAATTAAAAAAGGCCAAAAGCAAAAAAACACAAGCATTTGGAGTTTTACTTCGTCTTAATGTTTATTCTATTCCATTGTGATATTTTTTTTTTGAAGCTTTAATTGAAATTTTAATAAACCTTATTTTAGATTGTTTGATGTTTTTAAATAAATTGCTACCATAGTCATGTAATGTATAAATATATCCCGTAATGATTATAATTATTTGAAATTCGATGTAAGAATTGATAACAAAATGTGGGGACATGATGATTTATTAAATGATGGTTTCACAGTTAATTTTCAATTTTTCTTTTGTAAAAACAATAATCAGAAAATAAATAACTAAAAGACCTTCTTTTACTTTACTTATACAACCTATCAAATGAGATGATTGATGACATTGCCATTAAAAAAATTATGTGACATTAACAATAAGAAAAATTCACGTTTTTAGGAGCACCTAAATATTAGTAGGAAAGTATTATAAACGAGTAGGCCTAACCATGTTTTTTAATTACTTTTTATCATATTTGTTTCTTAGGTTTTCACGCACATCACTCATTAAATATAACTTGTTTTTACGGGTTAATGAAAGCCTGTAAAGGCTACGAAACGTCAATAAATAAATAAAGTTTCGTGCATTAACCCGTAAAAACTAGTTTTACTTTTTATCACTCTAATTAGTTTCATTATCCAAAAAAAAATTTTTGTTACTATTCTTCGTATTTAATATTACAAACAATAGTGAATTTTGAAATCAGCCTTTAGATTTCTTACATGAACAGAAAGGATTGTTCATAAAGAAAAAACAAAAATTTGATACAAAAAAAATTTTCATGTCCCCATAATGAAATGTTAGTTTTAGATGTTATAATTGAACTACCTCAACCAAATTACCCATTAATGTTGTTTGTAAGTGTTCTTTTGAGTCTTAGTGTCGCCGCACACGGGCCACACGCTACAGCCACAAACGCCGCCACGAGAAGCTAGAAGCGGCTACTAAAGTGGCTGAAGTGCCAACTAAGGCGAGAGGGGTGGGGAATCGCGCGAGTGACGTGTGGCGGCGTTTTGTATCGGCGCATTAAGTGGCCGGTGCGGGCCACAAGAAGGGAACAACGACGATTTGTAGCGTGTGGCGGCCACCGGCGTACCGTGTGTGGCGAGTCCATATAAAATGTATGAAAACTACAAGAAATATGCCGGTGGCGGCGTTTTGTGGTTGTGGTCTGTGGCCCGTGTGCGGCGACACTTATTATTACTAATAATTACTGAAATTGTAGTGTTTTTGATAATAAAGTTATAAATAGTTCCAATACCCCTTTTGATACGGTAATTATTGTTACCAATCGTATTGAATGTGGTCGAGTTTGTCAACACGGTAATGTCACGATAAGATGATATTAAATTTTGAGAGCATTATTATCTCGTTTTATTGCAGCGAAGATGTTGCGAATACTTTAATCTTCGACACTAAAAATCATAGAATCGTTTTTTATACCTTTTTTTCTATTAAAAATGCGTGTGCGGAAAATCTCATCGAAAACGGTCCAGCACTTTAGCTGGATTGCAATTACATACACACAGCCGTCTTTGACCTCTTGGAGGCCCTGGGCATATTAGGATAATGCTGCCCCTATGATCCCCATTTGCTGATTTAACAGGCACTAGGGACTTTGTATTTGATCTGAGGGGAGCTCCAATCGATCGCGGGGTCCTGGGCACTTGCCCAAATGGGCACCCACTGGGAAAGATGCCCAAATAACAGCCCCTAATTGCATTTTTTGAGTAAATGTATTGATAATAAATTTGCGTTCACCAAGCGAATAAATATCTCTAACTATCGGGAATTCAAAGCTAGGAGCACGGGTAAGTAAGGCCTTTAGGGCAGAAGACAGGACTGCTGCTGCAGCTGGAGCATATTTACACATCGATCGGTGGAGAAGTGAACGGGGACCAGGGGAGTTGGACAACAAGCAATATTTCTAATTGTTTAACTGTAAAGCGATCCTTGAAATGTAAGAATAAATCCCACGTTTGATATATCTCTACTGATGAGGATATGTCCCCATTCAAGAATCCAAGGGCGGATCCAGCTTTGGCGCCAGGGGGGGGTCATATAGCCAGCTTTGGTACCAGGGGGGGTCATATAGTCGTGGTATATTAAATATTGAAAGTACTTAAATAAAATCCCCCCGGGTTTGGTCCATCTGTATCAGCCCAGGGGGGGGGGGTCATAACCCCCATGACCCCCCCCCCCCCCCCTGGATCCGCAATTGCAAGAATCTCTAATACTTAGGAGTTTCTTTTTCCAATAGGGTATTTGACAGTATTAAAAATAAAGTGCCAATTGTTATCATCTGTATTTAGTATGAATATTGGCAGGGGTTTTTACTATTATTACAAAAAAAATCATGATTTTACTAAAAACCCACGAAAAAGATAATAGTTTTCTTATCTATTGCCACGTGACCCAAAACGCTAGGATTGGCGGAGACTAAAATGACGTCACACGCAAGTAAACTTCCGGTTAAGGTGACATTACATTGTATCGTTTGACGTTTTAATAACAGTCGTGTGACGTCACACACTAGTAAGACGCCATATTGACCAGAGAAACGTTTTCGCGGCAACTTAAAAATGGAGTTTTTGATTTGGTTATTTTTACTGAAATATAAAACAGAATGATGAATATCCACTTTTTACGGACTCCATAAACATTAGTCAATAACGTAGAGATCGTTTTCTTAAACTTGTCAAATACCCTGTTATCGCTACCGCTTGAGTTATATTCTTTTATTCCATGCATCTAGACTGATCCGCAGTGATATTGGATTTCTTTCATTTATCGCTATAATTTTTACAAGGGTTGCTTTTTTTTGAATTAACAAGGAACAGGTGGAATACATTACTTACTATATAAATATATTCAGAAATAAATAAAAGTTCTCGTTTCAACTAACCGAATTCAGTAAATATCCGACCGTTAACTGCTATATTCATACAGCAGAATTAGCAGGTATATTTTAAATTGTTACATCATTCATTACCTTTGTTCCCGTTGAGTCACACCATTTTGTGTTACACTGTTACCCATTGGTAAAATATACATAATGCACAGCGGCAAATTATACTTGCAAACATTTAGAAGACTAACTACAGGTTTTAAACAGGATACCTCAGTGTTACCAGAATGCCATTTCGCCTTCCCCCCAAAACCTACCCGAAATCCCCCCAAAATACAGGGTTTTGAAAAATAAACCCCCAAAATCTAAAGTATTTATTAAAAATACAATATTTAGTACAAAGTATATATTTTTGCAACAGCATCCATTACTGGATCAACAGCTTTGCACGCGTCGTCTTTCCTACCCCTTTGTTAATCTTCTTACATAACTTTGTTTAAATAATGCCAAGGTGCAAACAATCAAAAGGACAAATTACCAAATAGCGATTTAGCAGAGCAAAGATACTGTCAATTCGATTTGTAGTTTAAGCTATAACAACTGACTGACTTGACTGACCGAGCGAAGCGAGATGGAATGGACCGAAGAATACTTTTTAAGTAGGCTTGGACTTAGAGGTCCGAATCGGGCTCATTGAATGAACACAGTTACGTGGGCCGGAATCTGGCATGATTCTCCAAGCCTAATAAAATTAAATTTGACAACAGTCTATCTTTGTCATGCTCTATACAGAATGAGAAAGAGAGACTGTTGATAGACAGTCCATCGCGACTTTTTACAGATTAAAAGTTTGTGAAGTGGTTTTATTTTCATATAAAAAATGTAATTAAATTTGCTAATCCACCCAAAAATTATTTCCCCCCCAATTATCCCCTCATCGCTTTATAAACTCCCCAAATTTGGGGGGAATCCCCCCAATCTGGCATCAGTGGGATACCTTAAATATCCACCTCTCGCTATAAGAACGCTCCAAAGCGCCTTGAATACGCCTCAAAGTTTAATGCCAATAAAACAAGTGGTACGATTAATCGAGACTATTTATTCAATGTTTGTTACTCAGCTTAACCAGCAGGCTCTGTCTGCACAGGCTTGATACGGCTCCTTCATCTTTGCGCCGGAGTCGCGCCGCGAGACGCGCCAAGCTAAACCTAGTCCTGGGACGCGATGATCTACTGCTATGTCCTGTAGACGAAAAAATTATTCATTGTTTATATCACGCTAGACTGATAGAAGAAGCGGTATTGAAGAATTGAATTATGGGTGATAAACAACGATATTAAATACCCTACATACACCAACACAAACAAAATCGTGCCCGAAACCTATTCAAAAGGTACACTGAACGATCCACGGAGCTCCCTAACATGATCGCGTAGTCAAAATCAATATAAGGCATTATTAAATATTGAAAGTAACCTTTAATACATACTGTATAAGGTCTTAAATAAAATGCATGAGTCAAAGACTTCTGGCAGTTCGAAATGCAAGCTCGTAAAATTTTACCACTTATTGCTATATGCGGAAGAATTTAGACCTCAGTACTTTGACTCTACGCGCAATTCTGAACGCGCTGTTAGCAATAACAGGTACCGACCGCGAGGAAAAAAGACGGCTATATGGCGACGTATAACCGAGCATGCATTTGAATATCACAAATATTTTATATTAAATCAGTTTATAGTAAGTATTAGATCAAATTTGACTTCAAATGCGTTAAATTAACAAACATTGACTAGATACCTGTCGAAAAAACGACACTTTTCGTACTCTAAGTATTATTTTCGCTTTTTTTCGCGGATCTGTGGCATCTTGACTTTATAACCGCGTCCGCGTGTGACTGTAAACTAAGAAGTGCTTGAGTGGAGTTCAAGCACTTCTTGATTGGGACACATTTTGAGCGCTCGTGGTGTATCTAGGGTATTTAATATGGTGATAAAAATAAACAATACTAACTAAAATAGCTACATAATCACTCACAGTAATTTCTAAAATTATTTTACTGAAAGTAAAACCCATGAAATTACAAATGTTTTTTTTTATGATTTTCCTTATTATGATACCATCACTTCTTGACTGAATATTATATTTCAGTTTATCCATTACAGAGTAAACAAATAAATATTCATACAAACCTTCAGCGACCCTTTGCCAAGCTTCTCGATCCACGTTGACCATCCCAGTAGAAGCACTTCTACCCAGATTGGATTCCTGAGTGCTCGAACTCGTTGCCTCTGTCACGTCGCTTTCACAGCTTATTCGACTCGACCTAAGCAACAATAAACATAGAGGTATAAGAATAGAGTGGGTAAGGTGGCTCTAAAAGTGTCCGTCTAGTAGAAAGAGAAAGAAGATGAGAGACGGCTAGCTATCTCTCTCTCTTGTGACGCATGGCATCCAATGGCATCACATCGAAATAGTAACGCTTACGGTTGCCAATGCGCATGCGCGATAAGAGAGAGATAGCTAGCAGTCTCTCAGCTTCTTTCTCTTTCTATTACAGTGATACTTCCACTTGTAGTAGAGTCTATATCTCCCCTACTCTATTATTATACCTCTGTGGCAATAAAACAGTAATATTTAATCATAGACATATAATACAAGTAGACTCACAATATCGCTAATATGCGTCGAAAACTAAATTACGCAGACGTAATGTCACTTCCTTCGGAGTCGTGTTCCGACCACTCTTTGATTACTAGCCCCGTAATGGTGTTCGGTTAAAATCTATGCAAATGGCATCTAAATAATTTGAATTCTCGAAAGTATGTGGCCTTTTAATTATTTGTTAATTAAAATGGCACGTAACTATTTTGCCATTTACAATTGTACTGATAATTCATTACAATTTAATAGCTACAACAAAATATCTCTCCCCGTGTGCGGCCCGCGTGTCACTTAGGGTGAGGCCAAACGAGCGTAATTTTGTGTGAGTTGAAAAAAAGTGGTGAGTCGCAGAATTTCGGCCGCAGAAATTCTGCTGCATTCGGTTTCATACAAAAAGGCAGTTGGTGCCACACGACAACGCAAAATGAGTTGTCTGCCGACTCAATGCGCATAAGCTCGTCCGAATTTCGGTCGGGGTGAGGGTAGGGCAAGGAAGGGGAGTGGGGAAGCAACAGTTTGTTACAAGTTGCGTGGTGTAATAATTCTTGAAAAACACGTAATGGCATATGATAGTACTTTTCAAACATATCTGGATTTGCACATAAACGTTCATATAAAGTATGGAACTGTCCACATATCAGCCTCTGACTATTCAGTGGGGTTACCCAGTTTCTTTTTCTGGCCTCATCTTCTGAATATGCTTCGTAAATACACAATATTTTTAATGCTTACTGAACTGTTTGCTTGTCGTACTAACGCTCAATAGTAACTGAATAAATTACGTTCGTATGGCAGCTCAACAGAAATTCAGTTGAACGTAAAATAAGTGACCGAAAATAAGCGACTCACAACTCACAAAATTACGCTCGTTTGGCTTCACCCTTAATCGTGTATGAGACATACACGCGCGATCTTGCACAAACTTTCTCTTTCTCTCTTATATACAATTGACAAGGAACCTTACTGCCACGACATAACATGTTAATTTGAACAAATGTGTTAATGTTATAGTTACAGGGTGTAAAAAAACCTATGACAAAGACTTAATCTATGCATTCTGTACACCGAAACAAGTCATATTACAAAATATTATACGTGGGATTTTTTTTAATTTTTAAATTAAAAAAATACATTTTTTTCAGTACGCAATGTATAGCGCGGCGCGCTACTGTGGCGCTACGCAAAGAATGTGCCTGTGTGTATGTGTGTGCGTGTGTCTAAGTGCGTCGATAAAAACGTTTCTAAATAACATATTGAAAATATTAATGTATAAATCTTGAAAAAATATTTTTCTTTCGGTTTTGACCTTCAATATCTCCATAACCATAATTTTCCCAGATATGGTCCAGAAGAAAAACATGATCGTCATGATGTGGAAAATACGTGGCCTTCGACTTCGTTATCGGTTTTTTTACACCCTGTATGTAAGAGTTGATGTCTATGTATAACACAGCGCCGCTCGGACGTATTTGATGCGCTTTTGTTAGGCGATTAGGAGTCTACATTGTTTTTATACGTCAGTGAATTGAATTCTAGGAAGAGGTTATGGCTGATACTTGTATAAAAAAGCGATTACCTGTCACCAGGCCTTAAATCACTAGCCGAACTGGTTCCCTCTCTTCTCATAGGAATAGAAGATGAAAGGAATCTTTCTCTAGCAGCACGAATTTTCGCAGCTCGTTCTGACAATCTTGCAGCTGCAGCATCAATCTCCGCCGAGGTGGATGGAGTTGTCATCGTTGATATTGATCTTTCGTACATACGAGGATTTTCAGAAATCAGTTTTGATATACTGGGAACTATGACATCAGACAACTGTCTTAAAACTGGGAACGATTGTGTCTGCTGGTATTCTGGTAAGTTCCTGGTTAGGTCAGGAACAATAGTATCAGTGCTAGCAGTTATTGGTCTAATAGTCTCTTGACTGGCTTCTTTTTTCTTCTGGTCATCCAAAGGTGATGGTGATTCAACTCTATTCTGTTCTGGATGTAAAGCGTTAGCGCTATGTGATTTTAAAACACCATCTGACCCAGTCACTGGTGTAGGCTCAAGGCGTTTTTCTACCGATGATTGATCACGTCTTGATAATTGACATGCACTGGCTGACTTTTGAACTTCTCTCTCAAGGAATGGGTTATTTCTGTAATGAATTACGAAATATTAAACACGACGACTAGAGATTGAAATAACATTATCTTAATTTTTATTATTTACTTGTCCGTTACGTTACCTTATATTTACCCCAACGGGCATATCAGGAGGTCGTCGTCTTTCAGCAATTGGAGACCTCCAAGCAGGAGAAGAAGTTCCACTACTAGCCCCGGATGTATGCCCTGTAGTAAAAAAAAAGATATAATTCGCTACGAAATAAAAATGTCAAATATATTTTTAGACATGTTTATGTGATTACCGTCTTCATTAATTTTCATATTATATCGTTGAATCATAATCCGAATAGATGGTGCTGTCTCCTTCGGTTGGGGTTTTCGCTGCGATGATGGAGAAGATGGTATTGGTGGTCTTGTCCTTGGACGGTGCTCATCACCTTCCTGCAAATCTCCCGAACCACGGGACGGTAACTCTGTATCTGCTCTTCTTCTGTTACCATTTGTTTCCTTTCTATAGTCATTATTGTAGTTAGAGTGAGTTCTAGGTGTTACTTCAACCAAATCATCGACATCAAGTGGTATGACCGCCCTTGGAACCGATTCGCCACTTCTCACAACAGGAGAAAATATTTTTCGAGTGGTTTTTACTATGACTTCTGGTGAACCATCACGGGGTTCTGGTGCTTTTAGTTTTAGTACAAAAACCTGAAAATATTAATTATTCCTTACATATTAAACATATTTGAATTTTGATACTTATAAATAATTAATTGCTCATACTTCTCCTTCAGAATCCGTGTGATAGTGAGACGGTGGGGTTTTTGGTCTTTCTGAGGCTTTACGTGGTCTCTTCCTTCTTCTCGGAATCTCAACAGTGACTGTATCAACATCATGCTCCGTATCGCTTTCTGATGGCTTGGATTGTTCGCGTTCTAATCTAGCCCTAGACTTAGTTTTTTTCTTGCCATTACCTTTATCTATATCTTTGCGTTTTTCGTCTTGGAATTCTTCAATTATGCCCTCATCCTTTTCTTTTATAGAACTAATTTGTTTGGAACTTTGATTTATACTCTTACTTGTCGAAGGCATTTCATTATCAGTTTTATTGCAAGTAGAGGTCTCTTCATCCCCAGTAGTCTCTTCTCTGAAACGAGAAGAACTACCGCGTTCTATTTCTTGAATAGTCTTCCTTATAAACATAGCATCCTCTTCTATACTCGGTTGACGATTAATCTTTCTTCTGGTGGTTTTCTCAGCTTCTTTGGGCTACAAATATAACAGATACAGAAAAAATATGTAAGGCATGAGCTATTTAAAGAAAAAATGATCTATGCAATAGCTAGGGAGCTGGCGGCAGTATTTTTTTACATTTTTTGATTTCGGAGATTGATACTATGGGAGCACTAAGTAAAATATTCATTAAACAATTTCTGCCATTTATTAATTGTTGTAAAATCAAATAGGAGCTTGCGAAAAACGTTACTAAAAATTTGTGTCATAAACGATAAGTTTATCGATTTATCGCTTTATTCGATAGCCTGAATACTTTGTATTTGATATAAAAAAATATTTACTAGTGGCAGAAGATTTCCTGCTCTTTTTTAGAGTTATTAATTTATTTTTAATTATTATGATATATAACAAAATTGCTTCATCGCATCGCCAGGCAGACGGCATTATTAAAATTATATTATATAGTAAAAAAAATACTCTGGTTCTATGATGATTTTGCATTAATAATTTGTATTGTTATAAAAAATATTTAAATAATATATAAATATATTATAAGACCGTTTCTGCCTCAGAGTGTACTATTTCTATTAGAACTTATGAGAAGCATAACAATGAAAAAGTCAGACAAAATTAATACTTTCTTTTCAAAGGCAGAAGTATCTTACTTTGGAATTTTTTTATTTTATTTTAGAAAAAAAAAACAGAGTTACCTAAGCTCACTACTTATTTTTTCCAATAAACATAGGTCAGGATGGCCGAGCGGTCTAAGGCGCTGCGTTCAGGTCGCAGTCCACTTCTGTGGGCGTGGGTTCGAATCCCACTTCTGACAAATCCTTTTGTCCTATTTTTATTTGTTCGTTTTCTTTTATAATTTTTATTTATGCACTTCATTATACTGATATGAAAATAGACCGATTCGGAGTAGTTTATTTTTCCTAGCTGCCATCATAAATGTTTTTTTCGTTTTATAATTTATTCCTGACCATAGATACAAATCCTTCAGTCGTATACATAAATTCAAATCTTATCGATGAATTCATATACTTAAATTACCACCAGCTCTCTAGCTATAAGGAATATCTATCTAAGCTCATGTTAAAACTTACTTGATCATAAGTTAATTTCGGTTTAGATTCAATTTTCTCTTTAGCTTTTATTCTACGAGCGTCTGAAAATATAATATAATTAAAAACTATTTAAAGGGTAGATAAAATTGAAACTGACAATAATGTTAGAATATGTTCATATGGAAATATGAAAAAAATGCAGCTAGAGTCTGTGCGAAAAGAGAATGGGCGTGGCGAAAAACGGAACTAACATTAAGAATTTTATTTGGCAATCAAACCCAGCAATCTGTAAAACGCCAAAGTTTTGTATTGATACGGATTTGTTTGTTGTTGTGATTTCTTGCGGTTTTTTGTATTTAATCATGTCTAAAGGGGGTAAAACCTTACAAATACGGTAGAAAATCACTACAGCTCCCTCCAATCTAAATCCTTTTCTCTTTCCGCACAGACTCTAATAAAATTCAATAGTATACCGGCAGAGTTAGACTGCAACACAGCAGCTGCAGTTCCAGTGACAGTGGCATTAGTTTCACATAGTAACCGGGCCTCTGCGCGTCCGTATGTATACACTGGTTTCTGAGGGGTGTGCCTGGGAGACACTGCCATAAGTGGAGCCGCTGTGCATACTTCCTCGGCTTCCACTTCCACGAGTACTGCACCTCGAACTCCATCGCAGTCATCGACACCTTCACCCTCATCCTAAAGAATAACCAGTTCTATCAAAACAGAATGGATTATATTTAGGATATCACTAAAAAGCATTTTTTTCATAAAATTTAGAATAGGGATGATGACGGGGTACAGTAAACGAAATTCTATTTAGTCCGTCAGTTAGATGATCAAAAAATAATGGACACGTATTTTTTCTTTGGGCAATCAACCAAGAAATAACTAAGTTATAGCGCGTCAAAGTTTGGGAGTAGGGGCTCGTGACGTCACTTTTGAGTGAATTTTCACTTATAAGTGTACTCAAACGTGACGTCATGCGACTTTTCAAATCAATATATCTCTGCAATGTTTATATTATGTGAAAAAAGAAAAAATACGTGTCCAATACTTTTTGACAAACTACCTGATAAACGAAGAAAAAAAAATAGTCATCATCCCTATTACGAATAATCATGCAAACTTTAGGTTTTTATGTTTGCAGAGTCTATATTAGTTCATTAGGTTAGGGGTGCCTAATGTGAATGTAAAATAAAAGGTGTTATGGTTAATCACTGACTGTTTATTCACTTAACCAATGTTGATCTAAATTACTCCAAAATATACTGTCTATTTTCTAACTAACAATGACTTAAGAATGAACCTGACGGGATCGGTGGATATGTGCGACTGGCTCGCGTCACCGCGGACCGCGCGTCGACGCTTATATCAAGTCAGCATTCTTGGAATCCAGTCGCCACAAAACCATTATCATCATCATCATCAACCTTTTAACTGCTGGGTTACAGGCCTTCCTTATGGATGGCCATGGGCATGCACTGGGCCATGATAACAACTACAGATGCAGCCAGGATCCAACGGCTTAACGTTCCTTGCGAAGCACAGAGGAGCTCGAGATAAGAAGTTTTTGGTCACCCATCCAATGATCGATTAAAATCGATTGCAAAAATTGCTTAACTTTTACGAAACTTAAATGAGTGAACTACCTGCGCGTGCGCCACAAAGCAATGGCGGCGCTAGATCACATGTGGACGTCGGCGACATCAAGTTCGCGAGGCCTATTTTACTTCGCAGTAAAAAAACCGTTAAATTACGTGAGCCAAATTATAAAATAACGTATGAGTAAACGAGTTTTATTGTTGATAATCAAATGATGACAAAAAATAATAAAAAACAAACATAGAAATTTAATTACAAAAATAGTGTTGCCAGACAGACGATTCTGAATACCTGTAAAGTACTACTCGCTTCCATCACGCACGTGTTCGAAAATAATAAAAGTCATTATCATCTGCTTAGCTTTTTCCCCGAATTGTTCGGGGTCGGCTACCTAAGCCAGGCCAGGAGAAACGAAAATAAATAGGTAACTTGTAAAAATTTTTTGCGACGCCTAGCGCCGCCACTGCCAACAAGCTCCTTATTACTACCATTATTAGGTTAGGTTAATTTAGTTCTTCTCTAATTTTTTGCCGTTTTAAATGACCACCTTGTTATACTTACACAATGATCCCTCTCGTACTCCGACTCAAAATCGTCAGCATCGTTAACGCTAAGACTGGACGCGTGAAGACGTCCAGAGCCGGCGACAGATGGCGCCACACTGCCATCGGACTGGGTGCGCGTGAGAGGCGCCGGTGGAGCCTTGTTCCGTGCTCTAGCAGCAACCAGAAGGGCTGATGTGGACGCCTCAGGAGCAATTCCTCGAGACTTTTCCCACTCGTGAAGCTTGCGAGTGAAAGAGCGAGATATACCTGTAAAAAAGCAAAATACCTACATTTTCCTCTACGTACTATCGCGGAATTTTGGCGAACAAAATGCTTTGAACGGTTTTCTACAGTAGTTTTTACTACGCCCCGCCTTCGCGTCGGACGCGCCAATCAGGGCCGCCGCACAAAAGTAAGACAGAGAGCATTTCATTGATTGAATAATGAATTGAATTGCATTTGTTTTAGTTGCAATTTGTCATCCGCATCGTGATCGCGATAGCGCTATACGAAAAAGTAAGACAGCGATAATTACATGTCTATGAATGAATTTTTACTACGCCGCTACCGCAAGCGATTATGGCATTACGGGTGACAGAGCGGGTCTTTCCGCGTGTGTACAAAACCTCTTACAGCACGACTATCGCAATGCAATCGACACGTTATTTTGAAAAAACCAAGGGAATTATTTCATTCGTATAAACGCAATTGCTTTATTAAAAAATCTCGTTTTCTCGTACAAGTTTACCTTGGAATTTGAAGAGACCTGTTGATGTTTGAACTAGTACTTCATCTGGCTTTGCTTCTTCTTCCCATGCTGGCACCGAGTTGGTCTCTTTCATACGTTTCCATTCATCTGTAATATGGAAGTGTTTAAATTAATGATTAATTTAGATCTGTTTTTTGGGTATGGTAGTATAAAAATTTTAAGTATCTAAGTGCCTTTTAGTATAGAGTTGATGGGTAAAATCATGCATAAGAAATTACGCGAAACAAAATAAACGCGACTAAACTCCAGCTACCCTTAAATCGGCAGAGAGGTAAATACGCGGGGTCTGTTTAAAAAAAGATAAAAGATTACGTCATCATTTATGGTTCAGCCGCACGGCGCCTACTGTTGAGCCTTCCCCAAGGATCTACTTATCGATCGGACCTGCGCTTTTTGCATCAAGTAGCTTTCCAAGATCTTCACTATAATAGATTATATTATATTATATAGATCCGCTGATTACGTACCTATGTTATAAATCACTTACCAGTGGATATTTTTAAGTTGACTATTCGAAAGGCAAATTAGTAGTTTACTAATGTCATTATTCGAATAACGACTACTAATTAGTAATACTAATGTCAAATTTGCAAGAGCGCAACGAATAAGGTTAGGTTATTTATTCGTTCCTTCATCATTTGCCTTAGTTCAGTTAGTTTCCGTACGTTCGTACTTGGCGCCTGCTACGATAGCCCTGTATCTGTTATTAATTATTATTTTTGCAGTGAAAACTATATTTACGAGTGAGTTTGTTTAATATTGCTTGATTTATATATATTTTCAATATAAAGAGTTCATTTATAACGACTACTATGACTTTGATCTTCTCTTTCACTCGTCGATTTCGCCCGACCAAGCCCGAGTAGACCCGGAGCTCTATTTTTGAATCACTCGTCTGGCATAATATCGTCGAATGCGACTTAAGTCACCTTTGACTTTCAAGTCGCATGATACTGATTTTCCGTATTTTTGAATCGTTCATCTACAGTTACCAGTTTAATACAACATTTTTATTTTTATTAACACGGAAAAAAAAATTTCAAAAAGATAATGAGCAGTCATTGCCGCTGTGAAGAGTAAACGTATAATTCTCAATAATTGGTTATTTATTCTTTTGCCTTTTTTGTAGAAAAAGATCAAAACGTCGCAACAAATCGTCACGTTATCTGTATTTTAAAAAGATTGAGAAATTTTTTTGAATTTATCTGACTTTTTGAAAATTAATCTACCATTCGCCTCCATCTTTCGCCAACGCGCAACGAGTGGTCGAGACCGCTCGTTGACGTCGAGCGATTCAAAAATAGGGAATTAATTATGTCGAACGAAAATTACTAGAAATCGAGCGTTCGACGCAAGGCGAGTGATTCAAAAATAGAGCTCCCGGTTTGTTCGTCTTCATCACGTACGTCAGTCGAAAGATGGTCGAGAATCGGGTAATCGCCGCCCGATACCTTCGACTCCAGTCGAATGATATAAAGTGCAGTCGACTTGGGAGCTCTATTTTTGAATCACTCCTCTGACATAGTATCGTCGAATGCGACATAAGTCTTCTTCGGCTTTCAAGTCGCATAATACTGATTTTCCGTATTTTTGAATCACTCGTCACCAGTGTTACCTGCTTGATACGAAATACGAAATTTTACTCTATTCACGCAGAAATAATAAAAACAGGTAATTACTACTACTCTTTGTCGTTTCATATAAAGCATGACAGTGAAAGATTATCGTCGTCTAATAGCACAAAAATAATTACAATTATTCTATCATTCGCCTCCACCGTTCGCCATGCAGCGAGTGGTCTCACCCATTCGTTGCACTCGAGCGATTCAAAAATACGGAATTATTATGTCGAATGAAATTTAGTAGAAATCGAGCGTTCGACGCAAGACGAGTGATTCAAAAATAGAGCTCTTGGTCGAATGATTCGTGGAGTTGAATGATTAGTATGTCTACTAGCAAACCAGTGAACCAAATGTTCACCAAAACCTGATTTAAAAAATAAAAAATGTGTTTAATTAATTGAGAACTTCGGAGATTTTGTGTGGTTTCGTTTGAAATTCGTGATTTCTCGAAAACCGGAAGTGCTACGTTACTCACATCCGGTTTGTAGTCTTATCAGACTATTCTTAACTTATAACTTAAATATTCTCTTTATCTATCTCTTACGGTTTGGCCGCTGAAACAGCACCACGGACAGACGGACTTGTCTAATAGATAAGAGGTTATTGGAAGTCGCGCATCGCTAGGTCTCACCCCATTTCTTCAAGAAGTCCTCGCTGAGATCCTGTCTGGCAGGTACTGGTGGTGGTTGTCGCACCCCCTTCATGCGTTGCCACTCCGTCAGCTTCTTACGGAAATCTGACGATAGCTGCTCTTCCGTCGCCACAGGCTTTGATGCTTCAAAATAATTTTTTTTTTTAGTATTCATCATTCAATTATACGACCTGTGTATTTTGATTCAATTTTAAAAATTTAGTTAGTGTGACTAATTTTTCATCATCATCATCATCAGCCTATTAATGTCCCCACTGCTGGGGTACAGGCCTTCCCTATGGATGGAATAGGGAGATTGGGCCATGACCCACCACGCGGGCCCAGTGCGGATTGGTGGGTGCTAGCGACTGCAGATGCAGCCGGGACCAAAGGCTTAACGTGCCTTCCGAAGCACGGAGGAGCTCAAGATAGTAAATTTTTGGTCACCCATCCAATGACCGACCACTGCGAAAGTTGCTTAACTTCAACGATCTAACCACTTGCGCCATCGAGCTCCTCTATAAAATATTTTTTTTTATATTTCACTCGAATCAATCCGAATTTGAATCAGCATCCAGCGCTACTAGGGCAGATGTACATCTCGATTTTTTACTACTAAAAGTGTAAGTAGTTTCAATATTAAATGCGATAGGTACTTTCAATAGTATCAAACATTCATAATAAAAAAATATATATTTAGTCCTTTTTGTTTCTTAGGTTTTCACGCACATCACTCATTAAATAAAACTAGTTTTAAAAAAAAAACAATAAAAAATTTCAAATAAAAAATCATTCCGACGAAGCAGCCTGTAAAGGCTGCGAAACGTCAATAAATAAATAAAGTTTCGTGCATTAACCCGTGGAAAACTAGTTTTATATATATTTAGTCGTGAAAATATCAGATAATAAAACAACGTCTCAAGATATTAAGTTTTCTGTTAGGTAATTGCAATTGGTCAGTTTTTTTTACTTGCATTAAAAGCATTATATCTTCATGGTCTTCTTCGAGAACCTGGATGGATCTACCATATCTGATTCAATGAAGAAAAATAATTATTTATTATACATGATATATCATAACCAATCATCCACCAAAAACCATTTTTCATGTTAAGTGTTGCCAAGACGAGACCATATGCAGTGGCGGATTAAACGTTGAGGTGCCCCAATATTAAAAATAAGTCTTAAGTACTATAAGTCGTTTGACCGAAACCGATCCGGCCGATGCGACGAACTTTGCAGTCGTATCTTTCCAACTTTAATCAGAGATCATGTACCATTGACAAGGTTGTTTGTAGGCGTAAGTATTAGTGTCGCCCCACACGGGCCACCGGCCACAGCCCCATCCGTCAAATTTATCTTTTGTTATAAATTGTAGCAAATTTAGGTGGTAAACAATAATAATAGTTTTTATTGTGTAAGTAGGTGACTTTCTTACTGGCCCAATTAATTTTATGCTTTGATATATTTTTCCTTTATTTTACAAATCCACCCGCGCGTTCTTTTGTGACCTCGCGCCTTTAGGCACATGCCTAGTTTGCCTTAAGGATAATCCGCCGCTGACCATATGGCTAGCTAGCACTGTCGAAAAGTTATCAGATCTCATATAGAGTCAAGCTTCTAACTCTACAAACTCTACTCCTTAGTCAAAATATGTGGCTTGGCCATTTCGCTACATTCACATGATAAAATCCACTGTTAATTCCATTTCTGTTATATAGTTATAATCATAATCAAAATCATTTATTCAGTTTAGGCTGTTACAAGCACTCATGAATGTCTAGAAGCTACGCCATCGGTTCGTGTTCGCGTTCATCTACGGCGCGCGGGAGACTTTTTACTGAGAAGAACCGGCAAAAAACTCAGCAAGGGCTGTTTTTGGAGTTTACTCCTTAAGAATTGATTTGCATATATATGGAGCCCGGTATGAGAAAAATGTGAGGAGTGAAATCTTTCGATGAATGACCTCGTTACGTTTTTGATGAGCATCCTGTTCGAGCCAAAATGACTCTTAAAACCGAGAGCTTAGGTGCAAAAGAATTAAATTGAAACTACAGTGCATTTCGTTAGACCATAGATTTCTTTATTAGTTAGGCGACGTTTTGCCTATATGTAGCTCCAAACATATTTACAAGCGTGATGCAACGAATTACAGCGCCATCTATTTTGATACATATGAACTAAAATTTTAAATTCACAAATGGCGTATACATAATCGCCCACCAAGGACAAACTGATTTAATTAATATTTAAAAAAAATGCTAATAGTCTGATAATAATAATTACATAATTTATCTACATTCCTAATGATATATTTATGCACATCTGAAATTGACTATTGTAAAAAGTTTAATGTAAAATATTTCGTCGATTAGTTATAATAAATGTATATGAAATGAATAAATATTATATTTATATATGTATATTATTTTCATTAATTTGTTAATTTACCCTTTCATACAGTATCAATCTTTTTTCAGTTAAATAAACTCTTTTTGCATCTGGTTAGACTATCGAACTTAAGGAGTAAACTCCAGTCATGCGTCGGAGCTGAAACACACAATTTTTTTTCTTTTTCATCATTTTAGTTATTATCATACCATCATTGTTTCTGATTTTCCAAAGCCAGTGCGACAAGAGCTTCAGTTATAACTTTGAGTTGGTAAATATTGAGAGGTCTTATCACCTGCATACAGTTTCCCTCTCCTGTCGGAGAACTCTCTCCCGAGCCTGTTCTGCAGTGCGGCATAGTCACGGGCTATCTCCTCTCTCACTCCACTCGCTTCACACCCACTACTGAGGCCTTCGGTCTCTGAAAAATTAAATAAAACTTATGTTCTTTCTTAAACCAATACACAATACCTACGGGTATGCACGCGGGTATGTAAGTATTCTTTACTAACTAGGACTATTATGGAAAATCTCTGCTCGCAGCATTTATATCTTTCCTGCTTTAACTATGATTTCGAGATAAGAGATGAAAACTTTTGCTAAAGTAGGTTAGAGGAGGTATAAAGGCATGGAAGTCTTCCGGTTAAAAATTGAGGATAAAATAATAATGACATTCTACTCTTTTTAAACGACTTTATAAAATAAAATAATTTTCGGTCATGTACTTAAGCATGGACTACTGGTCCATGGATCAGGTCCATGGTTTAGGGTACCTAATTTTCTACCTTGTGACCTATGCGACCAAGATATGAGACCGTTTTATCCTAGGTTTCATAAATACGAGCAGCTCGCAGCCGATGGTAGCAGTCACCATCTTTCGGCGGCAGCTGTCGCCATCTTTTGACTCCAGTCGTCTCGTTGGCGGCTGCCACCGACGAACAGCAGTTGGCGTTCAGTCGACATCCGCCATCTGTCGACGGGACGCCAACTGACGACTTAAGTGGCGACATGGTGGCGACGGCTGCCGTGGGTTACAGCCGCTCGTTTATATGAAACCAAAACTGTGACCTTATGGATTTTTAAAATATTCAAGTTGGTGTTTATGTTTAAGACATAATGTCAATGTCACTAATCAAAAATGTTATTAGACAACATGATTTAACTAAGTAAATTAAATAAAATGAAAGTCACAAATTCTTTCCTAATCCTAAAATATTTAACATAAAATCTTGATATAATAGAAACAGTGACAATGAGTTACAGTTCCTGCTTTTTAACAGATTATAACAGATAATTGAATTTTATATGTAAAATTGTTTCAGAATGAAAAAACAACCTCTCACTAATGACCAACTTTATTTTTATGATCTTAATTTTGATATTAGTTCTGTACTCCTACGTAAGTCTCCATTCGTTATTGTATTAAGAACAGCCGCATTGATAATGCAGTTTACATTATAAAGTAAAAAAATACAGTAAAACTTGAATATCCATTATATTATCGTTCGCCTTATTAAGTTAGTACAACACAGGAAATGCATAAATTATAACTGAAAAAGCTAACCTAACCTAACCTAACCACGTTAGTAACTTTGCTATTAAATGATACGCAGACGACGACGCAGAACCAATTCGCAGCGACGGCATCCGCCCTTAGACAGATCTGGTCTGGCGGCTGTCCCTTGTCATGCCGACACAGCGACTACAGCTATATCAGTGGTCTCAGCAGCAGACCAGAGAGCCAGACCGGCCAATGTCGAAACCTACCACTGCGCCATGCACATACTTTCGAAGGCTGCGCATGCGAGAACTGCCCTTGCGCCCTCATTGAAAACTTTATCAGGTTTGTTTACACGATCTTCTTTCTTTTCCTGTAGACCACAACTCAGGAGCTCGCGTCAACGGCGACAAGGTTGCGGGAGATCTGCTCGGCGAATTGCCGACCTTTGTGCCGCCGCGGCCAGTACACCGGTTTTAGAGGACTCGGTGGCTTGCCGGCTAGCCAAACGGGGCGCTGCATGATGTCCTCTCAAGAGCCGCGGCCTGATGCTAGCTGGGGATGCGCCTGCACTTCTTGTCCTTGCGGTCTTATAGAGAGTTTGTTCAGGTTTGCAGCCTAATAGCACAACTGCCTATTGTAATTAATTTGATTTCACATGCCTCAGTAAAAGCGTGCAGCATTTTGAGGTGTAGGATCTGGCAATAATTGTTTGATCGTGATAAAAATAAGCAATCAATTATTTCAATGTTTCAAGGCGCGTATGTTTTTAATATTTACTAGATACTAGAGATAAGTGTATAAAAATTCCAGAAGTTCTATCCCGTGGATTTTTTAATACTCTATAACAGTACGTAAGTTTTTCGTTATTTAAGAGTTTCTTGCGATATATAAAAATATAAATCCAAGTTATAAACAATATGTGTGATCTCTTACTAAACCATCAAGCCGTTGTTGCGTGATTTTGAAATATCTAAATGTAGAATCATAATCATCAGCCTACTAATGTCCCCACTGCTGGGGCACAGGCCTTCCCTATTGATGGACTAGGGATATTGGGCTATGACCCCCTACGCGGGCCCAGTGCAGATTGGCGGTTGCTAACGACTGCAGATGTAGCCGGGACAAATGGCTTAACGTGCCTTCCAAAGCACGAAGGAGCTCGAGATAGAAGATTTTTGGTCACCCATCCAATGACCGACCACTGCGAATGTTGCTTAACTTCAACGATCGCAGCCGAACGTGCACGTGCTAACCACCCGCGCCATCGAGCTCCTTCAAGTATTATCAAAATCGCCAATATACAATCAATTTCTTAAATTAGTAGATATATGAGTATAATATATGAAATGGAGGTAGGTGCTGTTAATTTCATGAATTTCTCATCTTGTCCACAGTTCATGCAGACCTGCTTCAACTATGTACAATCAATTTATGAACTGCACAACCAACTGCATTGATTATTTAATGCAAATGGTGAGTTTATTTCAATATGTATTGTATGAAGCTACAATGCATGAAAGTAATATTCACACAAAAGCATCATATTATATCAAACAGTTATAAAAAGTGTAATTAAATTTAGAAAAAGTTCATTTCATTTTATGAATAGAATAGAATATTGTTGTATGAAAAGATATCCTAATTAAAAACTTTTTTAAGGTATTAGGCATTTATGAGTTTTTGGGGAGGATTCTAGAGTGCCAAGTATCGTGTCAAACAAGACCAGCTCAGGTAATTTTAAGTACGTACAGTGTACAATGTATACAAAAATTCAAAAAGAAAATCAGTTTGTTAAAAAAACTCATTTTTTTTATTCTTATAACCTTTCAGTTAACTAATGAAATTAGCACAAAGCAAAATTCAAAAGAAAATATAAGAATTCAGAAAAATAGAGACGAGAAAGAAAATCTCTTCGATAAAAGAAATTACGAAGCTGGAAGTAGCGGTCCATTTATAAAAACTGATGAAAAAGATGATAAGAAGAAAATAACAAAAGATAAAAAGGAACGAGATGATATAGGGGCACAATCAAAGAATGAAAAGCCTTCTAATGAGAGCTCCGAAGTAGGAATTCTTAATAGAAAGGGCAAAAAAGTATCTAACAGTCATCCTTCTTTATGCGGAAGAAATTCAGATAATACTATAGAATACGAACCTACGTGTAGCGCAGCCGAGGCACCATCCCAAAATAATGGCTGTTCTAAATGTTTAAGTAAGGGCAGAACTTGTGTAAAAGATTGCCCTAAAGCCACTAAAAAGAAATCAGAAAAGTAAGTTTTCCAGTGCAGGAAGATAAATAATTTTCACATTAATAAATAGGCATTTGAAATTTGTAAATAATGCTCGTACAAAATATATAGCAAGGTTTTAATTAAAACTTTATTGTATTTCAAGTTTATTATTTTCTTATTGTCTTAAAATTTATTGTTCTACTTTACTCAAACGTGACGTCATGCGACTTTTCAAATGAATATATCTCTGCAATGTTTATATTATGTGAAAAAAGAAAAAAATACGTATCCAACACTTTTTGATAATCTACCTGATAAACGAAGAAAAGAAAATTAGTCATCATCCCTATTATTATTAATGTCAAAGTTGTTTGTATGTTTGTTACTCAATCAAACAGAAATGACTGAACGGATTTCGCTGAAATTTAGCACACATATAACTAGTTTATTATCTGGATTGATTCAAAATCTAAAGTTAATGCGAACGAAGTCGCAGGCGGCATTAGGCCTACTAGGCTAGTTGACTATCAAAAAAATAATAGTATGTGATACAAAATCTGCGTAATTTTCTGAAGCGCATTATTCATTGAACAGTTTGAGTAAAAATCCTCAGAATAATTAATGACTATTTTAGAACGACTCAAAACTTTATATTAATCTCTTTGTGTTTGCAATTGACGTTGAAAGGTTGAAACAGACGTCAGAAGACAACTATTCAATTCATCATTATTATCAAAATCATACAGTTAGCCCTATTTTTATTATTAAATTTATGTAGATGACGCATTTTAAGAAGAAAATCTATAATATTGTGAAATTAATGGTTGGGCTTATAAATTAAACGTAGGGTGTATTCAATATAATGGTTGATTCATAGCGAACATTGGTATACTTACAAAAGTTGAACAACCATGCCATCAGGTAAGAAATAAACAAATATTAAATGAGTACGAGTATCAACTATATGAAATTAATAACAATACAAAGAGAATAAAGGTAAAACTGTACTTCCAGGGCCCAAAAGGTGATACTTGTTTTTTTTGTGTAGAAAAGGTCTTTTTAACAGATTTTTTTTTCTGGCGCTTCGCCGGCCGCTGCCGCGGCACGCTCGCTTTGCTCGCTCGGCTCGCGCGTTATGGTCACAACACTAACCTAACCTAACCTAGTGTGAAGTATCACCACTTGATAAGAAAAGTAAAAATTTTCAATATTTTTTTCTAAATAACTACCAGTGCATAAGTGTGACATTTTTTTTAATAATGTGGTTAACAGAAACCTTTTTAACAACAAAAATGCGAAATTACAACCAACAAAACTGCGAAGTTTTTACTTTTGGGCCCTAGAAGTACAGTATATCCAGAATAAATATTATGGGCATCACATGGACACGCGATACTATACATAAATATATTTTTAGTGAAGTCTAACTAAGTTAAATTATCTCTCAAATATGCATCTAAATCTAGTTACTATTTAGATAAATATCATGCCAGCCGCCTTTTTTAATTATTTCTGCTTTGGATTTAATTCTATTTTCAGGTGATAGTGAGTGTCCAATATTGTGTTTAACTAAATTAATTTTATTTGTTGTCACAACTATGTTTGTCTTGGTAAGTTTTGTAGCTTAATAGTTACTTTCTTATCCTGTTATTTTTTTATATGAAGAATGGAGAATTTTACGTATATAATGTTTTCATTCTTCTTAAGTATCAATGAAAATTTATTTACATAATTCCAGTATCTTCCTTTGGGTGATCCACAAATTGTTTGCGATGACAAAAATATTGATCCTGAAAAAAAGGGCGTCGCCACTATGTGTAACATATACGACGGTATGGTTTAGTAAGTGGATTAGTTTAACTTTGTTTCGATATTTTAAAATCAAGTTCATCTTACTAATATTAGGGTGTTACGACACCAATCGATCGATCGTCGATAGATGCCATCGATCGATGGTAGAATGGATTAGTCGACGTAGATCGATAGTTTCTACCACACCAATCGATCGACAGTCGATAGATGCCATCGATCGATGGTAGCATAGATTAGTCGATCGATAGTTTCTACCAGACCAATCGTTCGATTGTTTGAAGGAGGCCACCATATTTAAAAGATTTTCAATATCACTGTTTGTATACGCCATTAATTGTGCATGTAAAAAATGTAGTTCATATGTGTCAAAATAGATGGCGCTGTAGTTCTTTGCATCACGCTTGTAAATTTGTTTGGAGCTACATATAGGCAAAACGTCACCAAACTAATAAAGGAATTTATGGTCAAACAAAATCCACCTTAGTTTCATTTAATTCTTTTGCACCGAAGCTCTCGGATTTTAAGACTCATTTTGGCTTGAACACTGTTACTCATTCGAAAAGCATCCAAAAAACCACTATTTAAAATGTAATTTGCAGAATGTAAGCGGTCTTTGGCTTTAAGAAACGTTCGCATCATGAGTGTTCTGTGTTTGCGTCTCCGTAATAATAAAAAAATCATCTATCTCGAGTTCCTCCGTGCTTCGGAAGGCCGTTGTTAAGCCGTTGGTCCCGGCTGCATCTGCAGTCATTAGCACCCACCAATGCACTGCGCCTGCTTAGTGGGTCATGTCCCTATATCACTATTCCATCCATAGGAAAGGCCTATGCCTCAGCAGTGGGGACATTAATAGGCTGATGATGATGAAAGTTTTTGCTACTAATTTTATCCAATACTAGCGGCCCGCCCTCGCTTCGCTTCGATGTAGAGCTGAAGTGTAGACTACAGTTTTTGTTCTCAGGCTTGTATTAGACACAATGACATTCATCTATGATTCTTCTTATACCTGCATGCAAAGTCTTAGCCCGATCGGTTTAAAATTGACAAAGTTTCATACAAACTTTCATATCCTATTTTATTCTCTTGGGTGTAGAATTGATCAAAATCCTTTCTTAGCAGATGCCTACGTCTTAACATCTACCTGCATGCCAAATTTCAGCCCGATCCGTACAGTGGTTTGGGCTGTGCGTAGATCACTATATCAGTCAGTCGGTCACCTTTGAGTTTTATAATAAAGACTAGCGGCCCGCCCTCGCTTCGCTTCGGTGTAGAGCTGAAGTGTAGACTACAGTTTTTGTTCTCAGGCTTGTATTATACATAATGACATTCATCTATGATTCTTCTTATACCTGCATGCAAAGTCTCAGCCCGAACGGTTTAAAATTGACAAAGTTTCATACAAACTGTCATTCCCTATTTTATCCCCTTGGGGGTAGAATTGATCAAAATTTTTTCCGTAAGAACCTTGTACAGAGTATTAGAAAACTACAAAGAAAAAATCAGCCAAATCGGTCAAGCCGTTTTCATGTTATGTCGTGACAACGGAAAACGGGTTTCATTTTTATATATATAGATAGATAATAAATTTGAGGTGACTATTTCGTCTGTGTGACTTCGTTCACAGAATAGCTTTGATTGATTCTCATTTATTTTGTAGTGTCTCGGAGAAAAGTCTACAAGTGGTCGACTCATTAATCTGTTCCACAATAAATGCACTTTATGAAGGAAAATTAAAGGTAACGAAGGCAGCTTTGCAAAGTTTGTTATATAAACTAAACTATAACTATAACTTAAATATTGCAAACATGAATAAAACCCTTATGGACAAAATTTAAAAGAGAATTTATAATATTTCAACAAGCATATCCCTAATGCTATAGCTTCTGTTGCTGTAGAAGCTAACTCTGAGTGTAATCCAGCTAACTAATTTAGTATAGAAAGAAGTATGTATAAAGATGTACTTGACGACCTCCGTGGGCGAGTGGTTTGTACGCCGGGTTTCATGGTGTCGCCGACTCGAGAGGTCCCGGTTTTGAATCCCGGAGGGGGGCAGATGTTTGTGTGATGAATACGAGCATTTGTACTCCAATCATGGATGTTTAATACCTATATATGTACAGTTAAAGTATTCTATCCGTTACCCTAGTATCCCATAACACAAGCCTTACAGTGCTTACTGTGGGGCTAGACTAATTGGTGTGAGTGTTGGAAATATTAATTTAATTTAATATGACGCTATCAAATAAAAATATTTGATGATTTTCGCAGGTTTACTCCGTCCTATCAAAATACGATAGAAATGATTATTGTAGAATCGGCGGTTGCGGTGATGATGTAAGTGATTTTGAAAAAAATTGAATTGGTTTTATATTAGACTTTACTGGAAAAATCTTAGCCAGCAACTGAAATATTAAAAAAATAAACTTTACTAGAAAAAAAGAAATCCTTTTGAAACCTGGATCATGTGGATTTCTAAAGTGAATTCTTTACGCACGCTTGACTTGGGGGGTAAGCTGGCGAATGCGTTACGCGTTACGAAAAATGTACACACTTTTCGTAATGCGAGGGCAAGGCGAACGGGATTTGGGTGGGGGATATAAGCAAGAGAGCATTGAGCGCGCACATTTTCTTTCTCTCTTTCTCTTATAGCTAGTAAATGTAATATGATAAAAAAATATATAACTATAATTGCTATTTCTTCTTTCTAATGTTTAATACTTGTAAAAGTATTGATTTGACATTGTGGGTTACCTATAATGCGAAGAGATGGCGCTGCCTTGCAGCTTAAGAATGGCTAGTAAGATTTCGACGCGGTCCGTGAAGGTCGCGGTAGCATAATTGGTTAGTGCATTCGCCCGGATTGCGAAGGGTGCGGGTTCGAGTCCCGTCTGCTGCCTGGTCCGCGTAAATTTTTTTCTAGTTATATTTTCTTTAAACAGATGGAGTTAAAGAAGTTTCACTTCAGTCGTGTGGTCATAAGCACGCTTGTTTTTTTTTTCTAGTAAATTTTTCTTTAGATTGAAACATCTAGCTATGAAATGTTATAATAACAACTTTAGTTGTTTAAAACTAATACAATCTGAAATTATCTACCTGTTACCTGTTCGTTAGTCTAACAGAATATAAAATACTAGCAAACCAGTGAACCAAATGTTCACCAAATCCTGATTTAAAAAAAAATAAAACAAATGTATTTAATTAATTGAGAACTTCGGAGATTTTGTGTGGTTTCGTTTGAAATTCGTGATTTCTCGAAAACCGGAAGTGCTACGTTACTCAAATCCGGTTTGTAGTCTTATCAGACTATTCTCAACTTATAACTTAAACATTCTCTTTATCTATCTCTTACGATTTGGCCGCTGAAACAGCACCACAGACAGACGGACGGACGGACGGACTTGTCTTATAGATAAGAGATGTTAATCAGACCGATTTTGATGAAGTTTTATATGGGTCTCTGCATAATAAAAGATTTACAACTAAACCCGGTAGGTGGCGTATTATTTATACATATAATTTAATTTTAGGCTGGAGGTGAATCAAATGGTAAAAAGAGAAAATTGACATGCGCATGTCATACTAAATGTTCAAGAAAAAATAAATCTTAACTGTTTTAGGACACTTCATACTTTTTATATTGTTGCAATAAATATTGTGTTCTGGTTGATAAAATTTGTATTTTTATTATTTAAATATTGAGATATTTATCGAAGAGCGGAATCCACCCATCATCATCATCAGATTATTAATGTTCCTACTGCTGTGGTACAGGCCTACCCTATGGAATACTATGGATGGAATAGCGAATAGGCCATGGCCCACCACGCGGGCCCACTGCGGTTTGGCGGGTGCTAACGGCTGCAGATGCAGTAGGAACCAACGACTTGACGTGCCTTCCGAAGCACGGAGAAACTCGAGATAGATAGATTTTTGGTCACCCATCCAATGACCGACCAATGCGAAAGTTGCTTAACTTCAACGATCGTAGCCGAACATGCTAACCACCCGTGCCATCGAGCTCCTCAAATAAATCCACCCATAATGGAGCGATTATACTTGGTCATTAGCCCGAATACGACTGCCAATAGAATTCGGTTAAACGACTCAGTGTATATGAACGGAGTAGAGTACACCCGTATTAGTATTCTAGTGTAGGTAAATATTGATTCGGGTGCCTGAATTCGAGTAATGCAGTGTTTCCTAACCTTTTCAATACGGCTACCCTTGTAACCTATTAGGAAAACAGATTTTACCCCGACTTTAAAATGTTATCATCAGTCCAAGAAATTACAATTTAATATGGCCGCTACATCTTCGTCTCTAATAATGTCATCATCAGGCGAAAATCTCGCCCCGCTTCCCACACTCTGCACCCCGCGGGCTCGCTAGCAAGAAGGAGCGCATGCTCTATTTAGATATATTTATATATATAATTCTTCTGTGAGTGTGTATGTCACTGAACTTCTCTTAAACGACTGGACCGATTTTGATGAAATTTTTTGTGTGTGTTCAAGGGGATCTGAGAATGGTTTAGATTCACAATTTTGTCCGCTGCACAACCCCTATTTTTTAGGGCGGTACGAAGTTCGCTGGGTCAGCTAGTTATTATATAGTATTTTCTTATTATTTAGATTTGACCAAATTATTAGGTTCTTTGTTACCCCCGAATTATGGCTGATTTACCCCCGGAGGGGTAATTACCCCCAGGTTCGGAACCAAGGGAGTAATGTCTTTCGTACTCCTGAATACTGGCTAATGACCATATATAATTGCGGCATGAGTAAAGTACCGAGATATTTACTTAATTAATTAGATTTGTCAAAGATTTTGACAGAAGAAAAGTTTCAGATAGAAAGAGAAGACAGCGGAATTTAAACTGAGTACCTTGTGGCCTTGGATACGTAGTTTAGCGATAATCATAAAGGTCATCAATCATAAAAATAAGTCATAAAGAATTAACTAGAGCCGTATGCAATAGAAAATTAAAAAGGGTCAAAGCCAATAATTAGTATGGAGAAAGAACTAGAAATTATGTTATATCCTAATTGTACAATAATTACTTATTGTTATTAGAAGAACCAAAAATTAAAAGTAAATTCACTTTAAAAAGAAAATTAAAAGAATATATGTTGAAATAAATAAAACAAATGATAATATATAATGATGATAATGAGTATAAAATGTGAAATTATAGATAAGTTCATAATATTTAAAAGAATGAAATTGTAAATAACAGCAAAAAAAAATATGTATTTTCTTTATTATATACTTAAATAGAAGTGTTTCAGTAAACATAAATTATAAGATAGAATAATTTATATTTTATTAAGCATGTTTCTTATTGATGTTTAGTTAATATAGTTTAAGGCATTAAATTGGCATTTATAAAATGGAAATAACGCAACGCCTACAAACTGTGAAAACAGTTTAGCGATAGATGTGTTTTGTAAACTAAGATTAATGTTAAATTGGAATAAAGAATAAAAAAAAATGCAATGTTACGTGTGGTCTTGAGGATGTGACAGCATTTTTTTTAAGTGTGTATGCTGTTGGTCGCAGATGACCTTTACAGCGTCACCGGGTTTCGGGACGGCGAAATCCTAATGGGACTTAAAGCCGAAAATTGGCGAGTGCCTGCGAATGCTGATAGTGTGTTTAGCTAGAGGTATTCCAGGCGGATATGGGATCTTCCCATGGGGGGAGTCTCCTCTCCGTCTGGAGTCTCTAGACCACTCTAACCTGAGGGGGACGTGACAGCAGCACCTTTATTAAACTTAAAAATAAAATGACTTATCTGAGCGTGGCTGATTGATTCTTTGAATGAGCTGCTGCAATTTATTTCACGAAAGCACTAATTTTGTAGGTACTAGCTTACTTCTTCTACTACATTTAGCAACTTTGACTGTGTTGCCTTTATTACATAGTCCCTGGAGAGATTTTATTGGGATAAATAATATTTCTGTCCTAGGTTCTAACATGAGCGTGATTGAGTTACCTATTTAGTTATCGGAAATATGTCCACTATTTTTTGGATATATTACAAATATTATGTATTTAATGTTTTGTAATATTTGTGATCGAAATAAGAATGCATTTTTAATTAAAGTTATTTTTATAGTTTTCAATAGACATTAAGTTAAATTGACACGATTTAAATCTTTGTATTTATTGACACTTTTTTTAATAGTTTATAGTATTGAAATAATAATATTAATAATTCATGTAATTTTATGAGTTTATTGTTAGTTTTGTTTGATAGGACGACTACACTATTGAATTAGGTATAATAGTGTACAAATACAATACAATACCAAACACTTTATTGCACAACATAGAAAACATTACAATAAAAAAAGAGGCATTTAAGTTATCTTTATCTTTAAGTTATATCAAGTTTTACAATGGGCGGCCTTATCGCTAAAAGCGATCTCTTCCAGACAACCTTTGGATGGAGTAGATTAGAAGGAAGTGGGAGGGACGGCAGCGTAAATTTCAATGTAATTTATTAATTTATACACATACATACAAAAACAAATACATATATATTTTATATTTATAAATATATACATATAAACATATACATACAAATACATTCACAAATCTAGTCCAGTCGGTAGAAATTACAAAAGAGATTATAATACAACAATTTCACAAAGACAAATAATGAGTGTAATGTGTTTTGATTTTTTTTTAATAAATATGTCTTATTTGTAACACCTCCAAGAAATAGTGGTAGGTACAGTAGGTAGGTACATAAATCAATCTGACTCATTCTTACATTACCTGTACATACATGTTTGACTTTGTCTGACAGCGATTTCATGTTAGCATGTCAGACCGGTGGCATTTCACGATTTCAAAGCTTTTCAATTTTTCTTTTTGCAACAATAAACATGTTGAACCTGTCTTAATAAAAAAGGGAACGTGATAATCTCCAGACATGTTTCAGTCATGTCAGTCAAGTCTTGTATGAAATGACCTGACATTGTTAAGGTCTATGCAGACTGGCGGAGTGGTTGCGAGGAGCAGTAGGTCGTTGGTCGTAGGGCATAAAGATAAGGGCGTGTCCACGACTGCCTAGAGGACCGAAATCCGCCGAGCGACTCCGAGTGATTCCGAGCGCTTGTACGCCCGCCACAACGATTTCAACCATAGAGAAAGATTACAGGCTTTGATAATTACCGTATTATAGTGCAAAACGAATGCAGGAGAACGCGTACCCTTACATCGAATAATAAACTTTTTAATGAGTTTTACTGTTTTCGATTTGGACTTGTTTACAATGTCTTTTTTTTGAAGTGATAATTTTTTTATCAGTGCTGTACACTTTTTTTTTGTATGGGTAAAAAATGTTAAACTCGCGTCAGGTTAAACACGTGGGCTGATCGCATCATGACACACAATAAAATTGGAAAGGTTGTTGACTCTCAATATATTGGACGAAACATAGTAATATTTTATTTTATCGTATTATAATAATAAGTCTCTATCTAGGACGTCCACGTGGCAGCTTTATTGCGAAGAAAATGCATTTTTTTACAATAGATGTCGCTAGGTGCGCTTAAATGTAATTCATGTAAGTTGATTTCTTCACAATAGATGTCGCTAAGTGCGCTTAAACGTGATTCATGTAAGTTGATTTTTGTGAAAGAAAAACTTTTTTAATGTAATATAAATTGTCATGTTTGTGTACGATAGCGCAATAAATAAATATTGTATTCTACCACATACATGATTAGTACTTTTATACTGATAATTAAAGCAATTCGTACAAAATTATTCCCTAACCATTCCAAAATATCAAAAATGCACAACGTTAATATTCAAGTTTTCACTTCTGCCGGCACCCGTAATAATTGAAGTTAATGTTTAGTCACACTTAATATAAATAGCACTATTTGTATTTATACTGTATGACACAGCAATCAAAATGCAGCTAAACAATTAATGTATATCTAATCATTATGTAATGAAAGGTGACTTCATGAATCATCTCTGAAGTCATTTTTCAATTTGACGACTAATAAAACAGGGAGAATAAAATAGCCCTTGCTTAGTTTCTTGCCGGTTTTTCCCAGTACAAGGTCTCCCACCGTAGATTTACGAACCGATGGCGTAGCTTCTAGACATTCATGAGTGCTTGTAACAGTCTAAACTGAATAAATGATTTTGATAAGATTATGGAAAGTTGAGCAAGAAAATATCCATAATATACAGTGTTTTATGAAAAGATTGATGTTAGCGGAAACGATAAAGTACGGACTAATATTGCCCTGATCAAAGCCGACGGTATTTTTAAAGAGTTTCAAGAGTAGAAGAAAGAAAAGAAGTGTTACGTAAAGCAAACTCAAATGGCGCCTACACACACCATTTACCATTTTCCGAATAGGAGAATTCACGTAATACCTCTCAGATGACCGTAAAACAAACTGTTTTACTACGTCGCTGATCGTAAACGCGCCCTGTGTTCCGCAATAGTTATTTCGATAAAGATATTTTTACGAGACCAGTTTTCTATTGCTGGCGAAATATGAGGGATTTTAGGTGTCAGTTTTGGGTTTATGTGATGTTTTCTGTTGCATCGGTGAGTATAATTTGATATTCAATCATTATTTTATTTCTTATAGTTCTGGGTGGTGCATTCGAGTTATGTTATATATTGATTTATTTAGATGTATTTGCAATCGACAGATTCTCAATCAATTCTTTATCAGCCGATCAGTAAGAGTTTGAGAATGGTGATGGTGACGTATTAGTGGAAAGTAAAAAAATATCTATATATATAAAACTCAAAGGTGACTGACTGACATAGTGATCTATCAACCCAAACCACTGGACGGATCGGGCTGAAATTTGGCATGCAGGTAGATGTTATGACGTAGGCATCCGCTAAGAAAGGATTTTGATCAATTCTGACCCCAAGGGGATAAAATAGGGAATGAAAGTTTGTATGAAACTTTGTTAATTTTAAACCGATCGGGCTGAGACTTTGCATGCAGGTATAAGAAGAATCATAGATGAATGTCATTGTGTGTAATACAAGCCTGAAAACAAAAACTGTAGTCTACACTTCAGCTCTACACCGAAGCGAAGCGAGGGCGGGCCGCTAGTTGAAATATAAGTTTTAGGCATTTAGAAATGAGGAATTCATGACAACATAAGTTACGTTGCTGGAAGGATTACTAAGAAAGGATTTGTCGAAGCTCAGTGGGTGGAACACATAACAAGATGAACCTTTAACGAGTGGGTTCTTAAATTGCGACTGCGCATTGGACAACGCTCAGTTGGTGGGTTCTGAGCCTTTTTATATCGGGAGAAAGCATGACGTTCCTTCACCTACTGGTAGTAGCGCGGTGAGGGTATCTGTGTATTTCCTCCTTGCTCATTTCAACCTTCCCAAGGACTCGGTGAAATGAGAAGGGCCCTCGTTAGTATAAATTAGACAGCACTTATATTTTTTAACACTATTTAGGTAATATATTGTGAAGAAACAGGCAAGGATGACATTGACAGGGTGATAGAAGACGAGTTGACGCAGAAACTCGGTGAAGATTTGCTTCAAAGCATACAGAAGAAATTTGAGGTTGACTTAGAAAGGTACTTGCTTTATCATTCCTATTATTTTTAGGGATACGTACCTACGTCCTACCTTAGTAAGGTGACAACGGAGCTTTATTGCATATTTTCATGCGACATGTTCTATTACTTTGTTTACTGTTATACTTACGTATTAATTGTTTGACCATCAATGAATAGGTAAATTTAAATCATAGACGATCTGGGATTTTATATCTTCGTCATCGTTAGCAAAAGGCTAATGACGCTGCACTGCTGAGGCAACGGCTACTGGTAGTTTTGGCAATAGATTCCATAACCAATTCATAATAAAGATTTCGTTAACAAGGTTTCTTCAATCATATTATTTAGGTTTTATTATTGTTTTACAAAGTAGATTAATTTGATTGTTGGTTGGCTGTCATCAGGTCTGTAGATATGGTGTTAATGAAGATAAAGTTGCTGCTGCAGAATGGCACCGAACACATCCAAGAGAAGCTGGAGGAACTTCAGACTATGCTCGAAACCATGAAGAAGACCTCAGAGAATGATGTACTGGTGTAATACTTAATTATAATTCATATTATCCACCTTCCTAAATATTTTGGGTACGAAATTATATTTAGAAGTGAAATCAGGGTATTTCATGATTTAGAATTCCTTAACGTGATAAGGGTGGCAAACAAGTTTAAGACCTCCTGGTGGTAAGCGGTCACCATAGCCTGTTAACGCTTACTCGTATGATAATAAAAGCAGGTTTAGGTTTCTGTGTGATTCTCATGACCGTGTCCTCCGTTCCACGGACAACCTCCTTCTGCATACTCCCGTCCACTCTTCTGGCTTCGTCTCATATTCTTTACCATCAAGGCTGTACGACTCTGGAATGACTTGCCTCCTAATATACGTAAAGCTCCTAATAAACTTGTATTCAAGGGATTGGTTCGTGAGCATTATCTTAATATAATTAATCCGCGTTCTCATATTTGACTGGCATAATTATGTATATGTATGTATTATATATATTTTAATATTTGTGTATTCTATTGATATATATTACCTACCTGGTTTATTTAGCATATGTCCTTTTTGCACCCCCGTATATTTATTTCTCACGCTTTTACTAGTCGACTGGTAGAGAATGCCTTATGGTATTATGTCCAACATTTGCTGTTTTTTAGCAATAAAGTATAAATAAATAAAAAAATTAAAAAAAAAGCTATTACTTGCGCTGCTGCCTACTCTGACCTCATCGTGGAAATTTGGTGAATTATTATAAATAGTCCAACTGATCAAAGAAAGATGCGTACCTCCAAGAATGTAGAGTAAAAAGAAAATCATGAAATTTATAATTTTCTTTAAACAGGTAGATGCATGTCTCAACGCTCGTCAAAATGAGACTTCAGCTTTGGCTGAGAAAGCTCTGCATCAGATGGTGGTGTGTGGGTATGCGCTGATTGGCCACGACCCTGCAGAAGCTGTGCGGAAGGTGCTAACCCTCAAGACCATGATAAGTTCCGAAATGAAACCTGTGAGTGCGTTTTATTATTTTTGTTCTTGTCTTCTAACCAATTAATTTGAAATAGGCACAATGTGCCGATGAGCTCGATGGCGCAAGTGGTTAGCGCGTTCGGCTGCGATAGTTGAAGTTAAGTAACTTTCGCAGTGGTCGGTCACTGGATGGGTGACCAAAAATTTACTATCTCGTGCTTCTCCGTGCTTTGGAAGGCACGCTAAGCCGTAGGTCCCGGCTGCATCTGCAGTCGTTAGCACCCGCCAATCCGCACTGGGCCCGCGTGGTGGGTCATGGCCCAATCTCCCTATTCCTTCCATAGGGAAGGCTTGTGCCCCAGCAGTGGGGACATTAATAGGCCGATGATGATGACAATGTGATTTTCTTTTCTGTTCTTCGCAATCATATCCATGGTACCTCTATTTGTAATATGTGTATTATCTGTACAGTTTAATTGTCCAGAGTATTTTTCAGCATTCTATAAATATAAGCAATTTAGTAAGACCCAGTTCATCTAATTACCGCAAAGATGTATGGTCAGCTACTAAACACCTTAAGAATAATATTGCTAAATAATAGTAAAGATAATTTATATGGAATAATAAATAATATTATACAAAACACTAATTGATTATTTGCTAAATAGTATGTTATAATTTTAAGTTCATCTAATTACCGCCGCAGCATTAGTCGTGCTTAAAATTATACTATTTTGAATAGTCCACATTTTTTTCTCTACCACCCCGTTAAGGAATTATTTTAGCTGTGGAGAAAAAGGGGCGAACAAACTACATAGCAATACAAAATCAGGATCTAGATGGCATAGGCGGTGAGCGCGTTCGGCTTGCGATCGTAAAAGTTTCGCATTGGTCGGTAATTGGATGGGTGACAAAAAATTATTATCTCGAGATCCTCCGTGCTTCCGAAGGTACATTACATCGTTTCGCAGTGCGACGCTGGTTAAGGCCCGATCTTTCTTTTCCATAGGGAAGGCCGGTGCATTAGAAGTGAGGACATTCATAGCTTGATCAATATCATGAAATACGAAATTCTGTTTTCTCAAATATAATTTCTAAACTGAATTCATATTACAGTTGCACGATCAAAAACAAGAGGTGTTAGGTTTATTGAAAGTCTGCGGGCACGACCACGACTCCCTGAAAAAGGTCATCAAGTGCGTCATCTCCAAGGTGAGAGCGAAATGTGAGATTTTATTTTCAATCATTTAAATGAACTGTCAGAATATTGTAGGTCAGTGTAAGGATCCGGACGAGGTAAGCTCATTGGTATCTGTAAATAGTTCTGATGTTTAGAATCATTTTTCAATGGACTCACCGGATAAAGTGGATTGTCTGTGTAGGTTTAGGAATCTTAAGATGAATTAGAGGTATCAGATTAACATCAACATCCATTTCAAGGTTAAGTAAAAATGTAACAAAATCTTTGAAACATTTCATATTTTAATATAAAGAAATATCCTCATATCGTCAATGTTATTACTAGGAAAAAATATTTTCTTATTAAAGGAAGTTATAAACTCTTGAAAGATTCTGAAAATGTGTCATCGCCATGAGCTTTGATTAAACACTATGTTTCACGGGTTTCATGAAACTTGCAAGAAACTTATCTATTCTACTTGCAAAGTTGTAAGCGAAATCTAAATATACACAAAATTCACCTCTATACTGCGGTGTACCGGAAATCGTAATCTCAAATAGCGATACAAGAAATTTGGGTCGAAATGGAGTTGATCCGAATATTCTTGGAAAATTATTTATGTTTACAACAATGTATCAGATATCAGAAATAATGAGACGATGTAAAGCAGAAATGTAAAGCTTTAAATGTACCTACTGTTGTTTTTTTCACTTTCAGGCGCCTGCTATCAAAACTACAATGATGGATATCACCGGGAAATTGATAGATGGAGTCGTTACTTTAACAAAACTGATGGCTCATGGCGCAATGCACGAAGCTTGCCTAATCGAAGTTATTAAGACAACAGAAGATGAAGCATTTCAATTGGTAAAAGAGACTCGAAAATGTGTTGATCGCAACAAAAACGTAACTACACAAGAAGAACTCGATAAATATATCAAAGAAAATAATGCGACTATTCTTGATATTAATTTGAAAAAATCAAGTAAAACTGTAAATAATGATGATAAAGATTTGAAAGATGTAATCAGGAGAATGCTTGCGCAAGATGACGTACAAGATTTATATGATTTCAAAAAAAAGTTTAAAGGTAAGATTCAAGATGGCGAAGTAGCCAATAAAATATAATATCAGCAATATTCGTGTCATTATTGCCCTAATATATAGGAATCTACCGACATAAATCTCAAATCAAAGAACGCTTTCAAATAGACCACCCTTATGAAATTCTGTGCGGTTACGAATGTTAAGATAACATTTGAGTGTTTACATTGCACTCCATGTTTATTCAACTGCATTAAATGTTTCGAGAACGCCAAACTAGTTTCAGAATAAAATAAATATAATTTTCTTCACTGTTCCAATTAAGGAACGCTTAAACATAATATAGCGTTTCACCGCCGTAGAATTGTTTGTTTACAACACTACGCATATGTTTATATTGGGGTAAGTCCAATAAATTTCTTCTAAATGGAATATTATAAGTGATTTAAAAAATTATAATTTGTGGTTTTTAACTTGAAAACAATCAATTTATTAAAAACATAATGTACTTTATCTATTCGAAAAATTACAGTTTAAATAAAGTACAAGTGATAAAGTCAAAGCGGAATAGCGTACAGATTTTGCATCCAACAGGTAATCTCATTTCAGAGTGATCCATTTCATTTCATGCTTTCGAAACTATGTTAGGAATTCAAAAGTATTTGCAAAAATGTAAGTACTGAAACATTTCTCAATTAAGAAGTTTTGACGTGACAACGTCTTAAATTAGGTTGCGGCTGGGAGTCACTTATGAAAAAGTGTAACGCTCGGTAACGTTACGATGAGTTTAAGTTTACATGTACAATGTTTTAGTAAACAAAATATATTTCTATAGTTTAAATTTGTGCAATTCTTATTTTCATTCAATTCCTTGTTCCTATTGTGCAATTTAATTATATTCATATCAATAAATATTCTACCGAGAAAAAGACGTTGTCACGTAAAATCTTCGCCCGTAAAACCGACTTTACAGGCAACCATTTTTTTTTAATAGTTATTTAAACCTCTTACGTAAGAAAAGAAAACACAACCGTCATCATTTTTATTATTAAACTAGTGGCCCGCCCTCGCTTCGCTTCGGTGTAGAGCTGTAGTGTAAACTATAGTATTTGTTCTCAGGCTTGTGCTATAAAGAATGACTTTATTTATATAATTACACGTGTTATTGTGAGTCAACCATAAAAGATAGACATATGCTGTTGCGGGATATTTTTTAGACAATTTTATGTAGAATATTTCCGTCATACATGATTTCTATGTAACTTTAACCATTAAGCTGCACCCGCGACGGAAGCTTATAAAATGGAGTAACTTCTCCCGTTTTCCCAACATTTCCCTTCACTACTCTGCTGCTATTGATTATAGCGTGATGAAAAGTATACTATAACCTGCCTAGGAGTATGAGGAATAATTGTACCAAGTTTCGTTAAAATCCGTTGAGTAGTTTTTGTTTCTATAAGGAACATACACACAGACAGACAGACAGACAGACAAAAATTTTACTGATTGCATTTTTGGCATCAGTATCGATCACTAATCACCCCCTGATAGTTATTTTAAAAATATATTTTATGTACAGAATTGACATCTCTACAGATTTATTATAAGTATAGATAGATTAATGTTTTCTGTATCAGTTATCATGATTTCTGCACTCAATATCTGGTGTAAGATTATTTTGCACATCCGTAGTTAACTAGATCCGGATGATGTATCATCCGTTAGTGAGGTGAATGTCCTCGGAACCGTCTAATTATTCATTTTTTCCTCAGCTGGCGAGCAGCCAAGCTTAATGGATATACTCTTGCTCCACAGACGCTTGTCAGCTGGTAGCTTTTATATTCATGTTTGTGGGTATTCAGTATCGGAAAGTGGGTTGTTGCTAACGATTCTCAGGTGCTTTGGAGTTTCTGGAATGACTTTGATTGCTGGAATTGGGCGAATAAAATTTTCTTCGCGACGGACAGACTGTGAAGCGTAAATTTAAACATTTCCTTCTTTTGTATACTATATGTTTTTTGAAAGATGTTTTCTGTTTACTATTAACCTGACTTATATTTTAGAAGTACTCTTATTTAACTCTTTATTTAAGGTCAATCTAAGATAGTTAGTAGTGATAGTGAAACTGTAAATAGGTATCTATGTAAGGTGTAGGATTCTGGATAATTTGATAGTTATCTATTAGTATTGTATACATTCGTGGCTAAATGTATATTTACATTATTGTACGTTCATCTGTATCGACTTTGATGTTCTGCCAAAGCCGCAAGAAAAATGATGGGACGCTATGTACGTTTGGATGTGAACTTCAGGTTTCATAGATGCATGATGTTATTATAGATTGATTGATGTGTATTTTGGTAACGTTATGCATGTGGCTTTGCGGCTAACTGTCGATCCGTTAGCGACGTCATTGGAAACCTTGGGTGCTATTAGCGGCAATCAAAGTATTACTGGGTCAGCACTTTGTATCCCTGTGCTCGCTATCATTAAATATTAATTGTTGGATCGTTCTGAAAAAGTTTATGGGTCGGCATCTGGTTTTTTTTGTCGTCATTGGATTTGAATTCATCGCGTTTTGACCACTTCCGTTACCGTGGAGATCACCATCTCGAAAGTCACAAGGTGGTTAAATTTTTTTAGATTAATGTTGATTATGATCTGAAATATCTATATCGTGATTATGTATAATTATATTTTTATTCATTACAAAAGCATATAGCTTCGCACGGAGCGTTCGTTTCATACATCATTCCATAAATACACACTTAAGAAATCATTGTTATGAGTAATGACACACATTGTTTACGATTTCGTTTCCTTTAAAATACAATTTCCTATCCAACAAAACTCTGGTACAATTCACTTGATTCTGTTGTTTATTATGTTTGAGGAATAACATCCTTTGATGATCGAACAAAGCATAAGGTTTGATTGAAAAGTGATGGAAATCCCAAAAGAAAAATCTTTTGTGTCGAACGCGCGTTAAGGATGTTTTACCATCGTTTAAGATATTGCATAATAATAAAGTGGCCCGCCCTCGCTTCATTTCGAAGTAGACTATAGCTTTGTTCTAATATATAGTCTTACATGTCAACGAAACGGAAATGACATTTACAAATAACACAGTTTTCTATTGCTAAAAGAATTTTCAAAATTAGTTCAGTAAATCCAGAGATTCAAAAAAAGTCAAAATATCTTTATTCAAATTGAATGCAAAATACAACTCTTTTCAATCGTTCATATTTTGTTTCCGTACCACCAGTTAAGGACATTTGTTTAGCTGTGGAGAAGAACTGGCGAAAAAAACTTCACAGCGTTAAATAGTTATTTAACAATATTTACAAAAATAAAAATATGTTGTTATGGTGTCAATAGCAATTATTTCGTCTTCATCATAATTATAGAAAAAGCCTGCCGGAACGTTTGGAACAGTTTTAACCCAAGCATTTTTGTCTGAAATATAATCAGACACTTTATAATAGGCTTTATTAATAAGAACTCCTTTAATGGTAGTTTAAAATTTATTGACGCTTAATTTTTGGATATTGCTAGGGGCTTTATTGTAGAAGCGTGCTCAAAGACCCTTAAATGAATTATTGATTTTGTGGAGCCTTGTAATTGGTACAGCTAAATTATTTTTATTTCTAGTATTAAGCGAGTGCTTATCACTATTTAGAGGAAATAATGTAATATTTTTTCGAACATACATTTAAAGAAATATTTAAAGAAATCAAGATAATGACTGTTGCTTTTCAGTACATTTATGATATTGATCATCATCAATTCATCATTTATTGATTTCTTTAAATTTTTCTCTTAAAGAGTCTCTAGTTTTAAAATTGTAAATTAATCGAACAGCGCACTTTTGCAGCACAAAAATAGTTTGAATGTCGGCAGCAATTTCCCCACAGCAAAATACCGTACGATATCACACTATACAAATAACTAAAATAAATTAATCGAGCAGTATCTACGTCAGTTAATTGGCGTATCTTCATTACTGCGTAGGCTGCAGAGCTCAGTCTCTTCGACACTTTCTCAATATGTGGGCCCTACTGAAGCTTCGAATCGCCTAAGAATACTGTAGTGTCCACATGGTCCATATTCTTGTCTTTGATAGTTACACTGGTTTGTGTCTGCTTTACATTGGGTAATATTTTTTTAAACATTTAGTTTTACCTTCATTAAGAAGTAAATTATTAGCATTAAACCAGTGGACTGCTTTAGAGATGGTTTTGTTCACGTCGTCAATAAGAGGTTGCTTTCTTTTAATTTTAAATAAAAGTGAAGTATCTGCAAATAATTAACTGCAAACAATACTATCTCATGATTATCCCTTACAAAGTAAGTTAGGTCATTTATATAAATTACAAACAAGAAAGGACCAAGAATTGAGCCTTGAGGAACATCCATCTTTACTAACGATCCGAGAGATCTTATGCCATTGATGTCAACTCTCTGGATCCTATCGCCTAAATATGACACAATGAGATCCAGAGTGCTACCTTTAAATCCATAATAGCGTAGTTTCCTGATTATTGTTTCATGAAAAACGCAATCAAAAGCCTTGGACAAATTACAGAAGACACTAAAGCATCATTTGACAAGGTATCAAAAATATGTTGTAAGAGCTCAATACCAGTGTCGGTTGTAGAGGCACCCCTGTTAAAACCAAATTGTTTTGAATTAAGTAACTTATTTTTATAGAAATAAGACTGCATTTGGTCTAACATTATTTTTTCAAATACCTTATTAAAAGTGGGTAGCACAGATATAGGTCTAAAGTTTGTGGGGTCAGATGTGCTACCAGATTTAAATAATGGAGTTATTATGCTGTGTTTCATGAGATCAGGAAAAACACCACATTTGAGCTATTGTTTTAATTACTGATTTAGAGACATCAACGGAATTTCCCCACAGATCGAAGGTTTTCTTTTTATTTCATTGGTCCAAGGACTTTATTATATCATAAGAATTAATATATTTAAATTCAAACTGAGTATTACAATTTTTCATACTTTCTTTTAAAATAGACTCGGCTTCAATGGGGGAAGAGCTCAAAGGTTTGGTAGTTGAAACTGGAATG